CCCCCCCAGCTTTCATTCCGTGCACCCCCATCTCCAGCATAGTAACATTTGTAAATGTCATCGTCCTTAATTCAGCGGAGACAAAGCATGGCTTATCGGTTTAAGGGAAACACATTGGGACGTGAAATTATTTTTAAGACCAAATGCCAGGAAGGCTGTGAAAAGGCCAGTGGAGCGGGATGGCTCGTTAGAGAGTCAGTTCATTAGTCAGCGCCTCCAAGCACATATGACACATATGCACACACACATACACACAGCTATTCAAAGACAAACTTTCTTTCTCACCCGCACACACACTGTAGACGGTGCTGCACATATTCGTGATTAGGCACACTGCTCTTAAGCTTGGCAGCTTAGCTGTAAGGTACCCTCCCTCTCTATCGCCCCACATTGTTGCCCCTCCAGATCTGTCTGCTCAGCGAGTTGGGAAACAGTCAAACTCTTTTCTTATCTCTTTTACCAGCACACTTCACATAACCTGTTAACATTTGTAAAGTTAATTTCTTTGTAACATTCTTGCATATTGTTATTTTTAGATTTTTTTACTTTTTACTTTAATCGCATCTTGATTGCTTGATGAAAGTATGTTCACCATATCTTTTCTTCTTTTCTTTCTACATAGTGAAAGAAAATATGAACGGGTAATACACTAACAGTTTATCGATGTCAGATGTGTAGCCTCTGTTTGTTTATATTTAAAACTGCCTTCCAGATAAGTCGGAACTCAATGTGTACAACAGTCCCTTCTTGCTCTCTTAGACAAAGTGCACTTGCTCAAGCACATGTCAAGCAGCTCACATGTTTGAAATTCTGGTTTTAGGAGTTTAACTCCAAAAGACTCCACAGCAGACATAAAAAACGTTTTAAGAATAATGGTATGGCACAATTAATGAGATTGTTAGCCATCTTTGACACTTAAGATTTGGAAAAACAACATCATATTTACCTCTAAAATGTTAAGGAATAAACAGTTCTTCTTCTGACTGAACCTAAAAGTAATTTGTCATAAAACCCATTAAAATAAATATACTCACAGCCACACTTTAGGGACTCTTTAAAACAACGCCTTGCTTAGTTCCAGTAACTGAGGTCAGACCTGTTTCTTGGCTCCACGCACTTGTTTTCCCCCCTTAAACTGCTGCTTTCCCAGAGACAGAGAGGAAAACGCTGGGGAGGAAGAGGGCAACAAGTAGGAAAAGGGGATAAAATGTGGGGAACAGGGAGCAACATCTCACTGCTGTTTTAATTCCAGGGAGCCAAAGACAATACTGAGTTTCCTCAGCCATGCAGAGGCTTAGTGAATAATCTCTCAGTGCTTACACTCCACATGCTAACACTTACAACATCTGGCTCTGCAAAGTCGTCTTACAGTTTATACACCCCCTTTTATGGCCTAAGTGGTGCGGTCCGCTGTGTAATGCCCTATTCATCACTCCCCAATCTGACCCCCCAGCCCCTTTTCTCTCCCGTCCCCCCCTCCCCTCTCCTCCTCTTTTCTACTCCTCTCTCCACATTTCTTTATAAAGCTAATGAGACTGAAGTTGGGCCCCTCCTCACAGGGGGAGCGAGAAAGAGCAAAGGAGGACACACAGGGGCAGGGAAGAGAGAGAGAGAGAGAGAGAGAGAGAGAGAGAGAGAGAGTGTGTGTGTGTGTGTGTATCTGAGTGCACGTACATGTGCTCGAGTGTCTCTGAGTGTGTCTCTCTGTATGCCATCGAATATGCACTTTGTGGGCACCTCCAGGGGGACTGACACATCCTCAGAGGAGCGGGCTGTGACATGCAGTCAGCCTCCTCCAGTGCCAGCGGCTCTGCGCCTCTCTGGATTCAGAAGTCAGTCTTATGACACGGCCCATTCAGCAGCAGCCCAGCATGCTCCACTATTTATCTGCCGTGCTCTTTGGAGCCGTGCTGTCTGCGCCGGGTTTGGGTTTTCTGGGCTGCTGCTGGCTCTCTGCCTGTGACACAGAGAGAGGAGTTCTGCCATTATACACTGACTGCCAAGCCATGTCGGGTTGTTGTGGCAACAAGACACTGAGCACCGGTGTGTGTGTGCGTGCGTGCGTGCGTGCGTGCGTGCGTGCGTGCGTGCGTGCGTGCGTGGGGAATGAGAAAAATACTGATTTTTCCATCTTGTTTGTAGAAAGCATTGAATCGATTCATTCTTTAATGAAAAGTGATGTCAATCGCATGACCTTCGGGAGATCAACACACTGGTCAATTCTTTCATAATTACGGTATATGCATTTCTTGGAAGAACTATCAACTATTGTCAGTCTGAAAAGTAAAAAATAACATTGTTATGGTACAAGTTTTTTCTTTTTCATTATATTTTCTCACTGGAACACTAAAGTATTTACAAAACTAAAAGTATCCACAACAAACACAAATAATACTCATACATAATAAAAAAGATATAATGCAATAATTATTATTATTTAAACAAAAACAAAAATAGGCAAAAAGAAGGGAAAAGAAAAGAGACACAAAGAGTATAGATGAAAGTATATTGTGCTACTTTATTATTATAAATGGTTTCGTCATTAGAATGGATTATATTGTCTTTTAAGTTTGAAGAAAGCTGTTCCAGGTGTTCATGATCTGTTTAAAGATTGAGCTTGTGGTTAATTGCTATTTTAGTATTGTCTTCGCAATTGATTATGGTACCAGTTGCACATGGAGATGTATGTTTTTCCAGTTTTTTGTTTAAATATTGTAGTTTTGTTTGTTTGGTGTCTGTCAAGTTTTATGCAATAACAGCTGTTTGCTGGTGTTTGTCTATCCAGGTTCAAGCTACAGATGCAGACCAGGGGGAAAATGGCGGGGTTCTGTACAGGATTCTCACTGGTAAGTGTTGCTTAACTTTGATTTCCCTCCATATGGCCTTCACATATGGTCTCCTCTCACAAATAAATAAGTGAAAGAGCAGGCTCCAAGTAAATTAAAGCATTACATTCATTTTGGTAGCGTTGGTAATCCACGTGTTCAAAATGGGTGCAAAACACAGAAACATTTTCAGAACATTGTGTTTTATTAATTATTGAGGAATGGTTTGATGGTTGATTTAGTGTTTGGCTTAATGATGGTTAAAAGGATGATCATTTTTGTTTCACTTCCGTGCTTCGTTGAGTTGTTTTCCTTATATTCGTTTGTTGTATTTATGCTGCTATAGCGTGTAAATCATGGTGTAAATGCGTGTTTGAATTTATATATACAGTCTATGGTTTGAATGTATGCCGTTGGACCCCAGGAAGAATAGCCAAAGCTCATGTTAGTGCTAATGGGGATCATAATGAACAAAATAAAGACCTTTGGTGAATCAGGCTTATCTGGCAAAATTCTTCTGATATGAAAAGTGTTTCAAATGCAAAAATTCTAATGTAAGAAAGCAGTCGGTGTTAATAATTCAGATCTTACCACAGTAAATATATACCATTTGTGACAGGTTCTTAAATCAAGTTTAATTTTCATTGAAAGCCACTTAAATTATCTCACCCAATTCGCAAATGCCAATTGCCTCTAAATAATCTGTGTATCTACCGTCCATTTGTTTTTCTTTATTAAACGTAAACGGAAGAGCGTCTGAGAGGCCTTTTTGCTTTTTACCTTACTAAATGGTCTAATGGTCATTGGAGCGAGGGGCGGGGCGAAACTCACGGAAGTGATTTCAAAACAAAAGCACTCGTGTGCTTGGAACTGTGATAATATTATAAACAAGGTGAATTTAGAGATGACAACGAAAACAGCCAAGACACATTTTGAGCCCTGAAAATTAATGTTATTAAGGGCTGTAAATATAATAAGTCTATGTCTAAAATGGACAACATTGTAAGGAGATTTAAACTACAGCGATTCTGCACTGCGGTCAACTCAGCCGTCTCTCAAGTTTGTTTTTTCAAATCAGCAGCTCTTCATTTTTTTTCCCTGCTATATTCAATGAGTGATACACATATTCTTTACCACAAGTTCTTAATAAAACTGACACTGTTGGACTCGGTACTAGCCAGAAATAAAATGAAGTACTTTTACTGTGTACTTTGTGAGTAATCCTCTGTCAGAGTCCCCTCCATAGTACATCATGCATGTTTTTCTGCTATCTTTGATGAGTGATACAAATATAATTTTACCATTACTTCTTAATGAAATTGATACTGTTTAACTTTGTATTAGCCTACTACTTACAATACATTGAAGTACTTTTACTGTGTATTTTTTGAGAAATACTCTGTCAAAGTCCCCTGCTGAGAACAAAATCAAGCCACTTCTGCTAAGCCACTTCTGCTAAGTTTGATGTGGGAATTATTTTGTGTTGCCATTAGTTATTCGTGGGATTGATCCTGTTGGAGTCAGTACTACTGAAACTACCCCCACAAGTATATGAAGTATTTACCGTGTACTTTTCCAGTAATCCTCTGTCAATGTCCCCTCCTGAGTACAAGAATGCATGTTTTTCTTTGAATAAGCATTAAAAAACATTTCTTCCTGAGACTGATATTGTTGGACAGAGTATTTTAAGAGGATATGGTGGACATGATATCAGCAATACTTCCAGTCAGTAGTCCGGCAGCAGCATTTTTACACCTTGGAAAGTCTTTAAAGTCTGGCCTGGATAGCTGGTCACAAATATCCTTCAGCAAAGTGACACACTCTGTCACATGGTTGCCCTCTTATGATGCTGCTGTCTTTTAATATATAAGTATTCCTCAGCCGCTAGTTCGTTCCTCGCAGATTCTTCAGTCTCATCAGCCTCATCCTTCCATCAGTCCCAGTCAACGCCTCCAGCACACTTCCAGTGTCTGACTCCATATGATATTGTCCTGATGCTGTAAGGGTGATGCCCCATGATCACAAAATGACCCTGCCAAGGACCTCATATTATGTCTGTCATTAATGTTACATCACCCATTATAACAATTTTTCTTTCCTTTTTTCTCTTAAGTCCTTTCCTGCACCATTTAAAGGCTTCAAAACAGGCATTTTTACTGTATGTGTTTGGAGAAATGACACAATCAATGGCCCAGAATTGTACTTTATAAACTATGAATCTTGTGGTGCTTGAAAACACACACACTGGCTAAGCCGGCCAGGATATATAATATATATGCCTTTTTTGGAGCCCTTTTTTGCAATATTTATTCAAATCACTAGTTATTTAAACAAACCACTATCTGAGGATAATACAAGCAACCATAAAACGCCCTTTATCTAGAGAGCCATTGAAGCCCATGAAGAATTTACCCTTCCACAAATCTTTTCATCTGCTGTATTAATGAAATTGCCACGTGTTTTCAAATTCAAGTTAAGGCACTATCTGTGCAGAACATTAAAAATATTCTTCATTTGAAGTATTTTATTTTAAAAGTGTTCAGAAAGAGTGCATCAATGATATGCTATATATATATATAATATCAATATTGTTATTAACTTCAACCAAAGTCAATTTAAATAGCGGGCAAAAATGGGGTAATTGGCATGGATGTGGTGTTTGATATAGTTTACGTTCAATTCAAACTATTTTAGGCAGAAAAACGTATATAGAGTAAACCTTTTTTAATAATTTACTATGATTTAGAAAGGTTTTTGTGAGAAATCATTTCAAAAGTAAACTTTTTTTCCTTTTGTATTTAAATTTGAAATGTTTGCACACAACATTATTAATGTATACATTTTTATCATTTTTTAAAAATTATGAATCCATTTATTTTATTTTANGTGTGCCTTGGCAGTCTTAGATTTATCCTTAGTATGAGTAGGTCTCAGCGGCTTTGTGAATAACTTTTAAGAAAAAACTCCTACGTAAAATGTTTTAGCGCGAGTTAGGAGCACTCCTAGCGGTAAGATAAAATGCTTTGTGAATACGTCCCCTGATCTCCAGGATTTTACTTTAGATTGTGGAACGTAAATACTTAAACTGATTGGGAAAAGCTTTGCATAATATCTTTAACATGAACAAGAAAATCAAACATGTTCCTGCCTCTGTAGGGCTCTTTTTCACCTGCAATAAAGTAGTAGACGATGGCGTTGGTGCCCTCATCTGCGTCCACAGCTCTGGTGATGTTCCCCACCACAGTTCCTGGGCGGGAATGCTCCAGCACGGTCAGCTTCTGGTAAGGCAAGCTGCCACGCTGCAGTGCATACACACACAGAGTGAAAATAAAACGTCACAAACAGCAGCTGTTTATAAATTAGAATGCATTCTGGGAGCTTCCTTCTCACCGGCGGTTTAAGGAAGACGGGCTCATTGTCATCGACGTCCAACAGCGCCACCTGCAGAGGCTGAGTGGTCTCGTAAGGCACAGGCTGGCCCATGTCCCGGGCCACAATGATAAACTGAGAGAGGCGTTTTCACTTAGTTAGAGCCATATAAAACTAAGCACTTAATTACATCAACTGCACACACTTTACACACAAACTCACGCTGTGGAGGGCCTGTTTCTCTCGGTCCAGTTTCACAGTAGTGGTGATGACTCCAGACGTGGCATCGATGTGGAAGTTCTCCCAGTCTCTGTTCCCGGCTCCAGTCTGCAGGAAGCCGTAGCGGACCTCTCCGTTGAGACCCTCGTCAGAGTCGGTTGCGTGCACCTCGTACACCGGCAGGCCTGGGGGCTGCTCCTACATGGAGGAGAAAAGACAGTCAGTGTGAACTTGACATCTTTGATCTTAGAGGTCAACTTTTACAGAAAGGTTTACAGGTTTTACAGATGGTGTTTCAAATGTCAGTCTAATCTGAACTCTTTGCCCCACAGATATTTGTACATGTCATTGCAGAAAGTGTAGGAGTAGAAACAAATGTCATTAAGTTTATATGGAGAACTTAGCAAACAGCTGCGGTTTATATCCAGTGGACATGCAGGCCCATTGTATATTTCTATATCATGTTTGTGTCCTGATGAAGGTCAGTTTAACATTTACTCTTCTTTTGGCTCTGCTTTGCTTTCAAATAGATCTCTCTTCAACAGCTGAATGCTACACTATGTTGACCAGCTAATGAATAACTTAATCTGCCATGCAGGACTAAAAAGTCAAACTCAAACACTAGGCCTTGAGTCATCATCATTGACTTTTATCAGGTCAAAGTTATATTTGATTAATCCCAACTGACTTATTTTCTAAGCACCAAAGCATTACTTGGTGTTCAATTGGTTGCAATGAGACCCACTAAGCAAAGCAGATAACAAAAACATACGATTGGTTAATTTTAGTTACAGGGAGAAAGGTTTTCGACTACAATTTGAAAATGATGTTTTAAAAAAAGGAAGGAAGAATGCTTACGACACACAAAAAAGAAGACAATGAAAAGGATTACATGAATGCATATACCTCCGAGATATGAATGATGGTTCCGTTGGCGGGCCGGACAAACACTGGCCTGTTGTCGTTGACATCTATGACCACAATGAACAGGTCTGCAGTGCCCCACAGGGGGGGGCGCCCCTGATCTGTAGCCACCACCGTCAGGTTGAAACGCTCAGAAGACTGGAGCAGGCGGCGAGAGCGGATCAGCCCCGCGTTTGGATCCAGGGAGAACGCGTCTACAGAGAAGGATCACGAATGAACCATAATTTCAAAGTGAGAGCAACAATTCCTCCAGTAGCAAAATACTTCATAAAAAACATGAATGGATGTTTGCATTCTAATAAAGTGGATAACTATACATTCAAAGATCAGTTCACTGAGAATATTCTGTTCATTTATGTTTATAGTAATGTATTCAGACCTGAGTGGGCGCCCAGCAGGCTGTAGAGCACCGCTCCATTCTCTCCCTCATCCAGGTCCGTCGCCCTGACTGTGATCACAGACGTTCCACTGGGCTCGTTCTCAAACACGCTGGTGTTGTACATTCGCTCCGAAAAGCGTGGACGATAATCGTTGATATCCACAACTGTCACCAGGACCTGAGAGGCAAGGACAGAGTTCAAGTTTAAAATACGAAATAATCCTACCATGAGGTTATAATGTAGAAAAAGCCTTTTTAAAGCTTATCACTGTTAAACAGTTTGATATAGAAGCTGGTATACTTTCTAAACTTGTAAGTATTTTCCTCAAAAATACAGTATTGTTGGGCCTAAATATATTTTAATTGTAATGTTAACATCCTTTAATTATCAGCCACAAATGCAGGTTTCTACTTTAGCAACATCCTTTACAGATGACAGAAATGTAATCAAAGTAGAACACGTTTTTTATGGACCTTAAGACCCATTGTCTACAGGTCATATTGAGGCCTCTCCTTTACTCATTGTTTCACTGTAGATGGTATTAAGTGCTAACTCAAAAAAGGTAGATCATTATATTATATATTCTTGTGTCAGTATTCTTGTGTCTTGTGTCTCTGATCTCTACCTGGACAGAGTTCTCTCGTCTGTTGTTGGAGGTGCCGCCGGGGTTGTCACGGGCAACAGCGGTTAAAGTGTAATGATCCTTTGTCTCTCTGTCCAGAGGGGAAAGGATGTAGATCTCTCCCTGACACAGAGGAGAGGGGAGCATTAGGAAGGAAGTACAGGCTGATGGGAGTGGTGTTTGCATCAAGACATTTATTTGAGAGTGTGACAGAAATGGAGCATGGAGTTAATGGAGTCTTTATCTTTAGCATGCTTTGTGTAAACTTTCATATCCCGGCAGGATGATGTTCAATGTTGATGCCCAGCTCTGATCGGGAGTAGGGTGTAGTTGTGATGGCTGATGTGTTGTGTTTAGGTTAACTTACAGTTAATGATTTGATGGCAAACTTGCCTTCCCCGTCTACCAGGCTGTACTCAATGACGGCAAAGAGGCCCGAGTCAGCGTCTGTAGCGCTCACACGCACTATGGTGGTGCCCAGGTTGACGTTCTCAAACACGGGCTCCTACAAACACAGATGCAGAAACATATGACTTGTGATGATCTTGTGTTGAGTTATGTTGTTTAATAGCCAATCTTTTACATGAAAAAAGTATTTCAGACAGAATACTTGGCTAAAAATGACCTTGCAACAATGAAACAACAAACAATGTTCTCTGTTTACTCAGGTTCTAGCAAAGGTACATACAGAGTACAACCAGTTTTGGTTTGTCTTGTCTCAAGTTAACTACTGGTAGTTATTTTCATTTCACTTTTACACAGGTCCAATCCCATGACAGGCCAAAATGTAAACTGTGATTGAAGTCCTGAGGATTCTTTTTTAATGTAAAAAATCTCAAGTTACACTATCTTTGATTGTGCTTTGGTGTGTAAAATGTAATTATCATTATGTGGAGTACCTGGTAGGATGGTTGTAGGAAGACGGGGTTGTTGTCATTCACATCCACTATGCGCAGATAAACTGGCAGCTCAGCGATTCTCGGAGGAGTGCCGTGGTCTCGGGCCCGAATCGTGAAATTCAGCCACTGAATCTGCTCAAAATCCACCGTCTGGTTTGCTACAATCTTACCTAAGACATTTGTGACAGTGATGGTTACAGTTAGGGTTCATGTGACCTATAGAAATATTCAAAATTATTATTCCACAAACGAGACAAACACTCGAAAAAAAAGAGATGAATTATGCCAGATTGATCCTTATGCTATTTATCAACTGCAGTCCCTGAGCAGCTACACTAAAAACAATCACACTAAAAACATTGAATTACATGCAACACAATGTATCTCTATTAAACAAAAAAATATCCAGACACATTCATGACATAACATTCAGTATTTTATCATTTTCTGCTGTTTAAGTTTTTAGCCTGTGCTGTGTCATACCAGTAGAGGGGTCCTCCAGTCTGACGTACCCCCCCCGGGGCAGGTGGAGCAGCTGGTAGATGACCTGGCCGTTGGGACCTTTATCGGGGTCTACAGCTGACACTGAGAGCAGTGTAGTACCTGGCTGAGCTCCTTCCAAAATCTGCTCTGTGAAGTTGGTCACTCCGAAGGGCCGGAAACGAGGGGCGTTGTCATTTACATCCAACACATTGATGGTGAGTCTCGCTGAAGAGAAAAAGGATTGTAGATTGGAGCGATGCAAAGTGAAAAAAACGAATGAAACGCAAGATAAGCTTCATGTTAGAAAATAGACTTACCATTAGGAACACTTCCTGATTTGTCAATAACCTCGCTGGCATTGTCGTGGACCGACACAATGATCTCGAATGTCGCGACCAGCTCTCTGTTGATTGGGTTGCGTACGAACACTGCACCTGAAAATAAACAAAACACATTTCATTTATTTATTCAGTATGTCTAACAATATCGATAACATTTAAACAAGATAAATCTGGCTGAGGTCTCTCACCAGTGTGTAAATCAATGCCGAAGGACTCCTGCAGGCCATCCACTGCATTGTTCCCATCATCCTTTGCCTCCACTGAGATGATGTAATACTCCAGTCGGGGGTGCAGATCAGGGTCTTCAGCGGTCAGCGTGGCCACCACCACGCCTGGCGGTGTGGACTCGTTGACGTTTATCATGGTGATGGGCTCTATGAAACGGGGCCGGGAGTCGTTCACATCGTCCAGGATGACCGTCAGCGTGGCTGTGCCGGACATTGAGGGAGTGCCCCGATCGGTTGCCATGACAACCAGGCGGTAGGACCCGCGTTCTTCTCTATCGAGGGTGGTGTTGCCGACCAGGACGGTGCCAGAGAGCGAATCGACCATGAAGCGGTCCTGAGCACCGCTCTCCAGACGATACGTCAGCCAGCCATTGGAGCCCGAGTCAGCATCAGTGGCAGACAGCTGAGTCACCACCACACCTGAGAGACAAGGGACACATATTTGCATTTTTATGACCATTTATAAAAAACAATTTAAATGTAAACCTTTAACCTTCACAGAGAGAAATGTATGTTAGACTGTTAGAGTATATAATCATAGTTAATCACTTTAAATTGGTAACCTAAAAAAGTGTCTTTGGTGTTCAAAAATAGCAAAAAGCTAAATATTTATTTATGTTCAGAACCCTTAAATTGAAGAAGATCGAAGATTCAACTTATTGTCATTACGTAGTACAGGTACTATGTAACGAAACGGTTTCTCTGCATTTGACCCATCCTAGTGTTAGGAGCAGTGGGCTGCCATTATGTACGGCGCCCGGGAGCAGCGTAAGGAACGGTGCCTTGCTCAGGGACACCTCGGTAGCACTTGGTCTTTCCGGGAATTGAACTGGTGACCTTCCAGTTGCCAAGCCAAGTCCCTAAGGACTTCGCCAACACCGCCCCTACAAAATGTCAATGTTGATTATTATTTGAAAACCTTTATTATTATTATGCATTATATTCTGTATACTAAATGCTAGGGGGAATAGTTTTCACAGTCTGGGATGTATATGATAAGCATCAACAGTGATTTTGATGCATATCATCTAACACTGCAGTGCTCTATAATACAGCAGCAATGTCCCGAGGGGAAACCAGAAAAATAGCATGTATTTGCCCAACATGCCAAACATGAGAAAAAGGCCCAATCTAGTCCAACACTTTGGAAGAGAAGGGGTTAAATGGGGAATATCTTTAAGGGTCGAGTTTGTGTATTTCTTTACACAGTTTTTATACACTTATTCCCACTACTAAGTCCCAAGATGTATAAAAAAAAACCTCACATTTGCCAGAATTTATGCAATATGCCTTTACTCTTAATGCAACATTAAAATCCCCAAATGCCCCCATTGTTGCATTTGTGATAATTCAAAACACTTTTTTTCAGAGACAGAACTTAGAGCTAAGGAGTGAAAAACTATTTGTATGACATATTTATCTCTCACACACAGAGGCTTAGTCAGGCCTGAGGCAACACACACCAGTGGGGCTGTTCTCAGGGAGTCGGACGCTGAAGCTGGCCGGGCTGAAGATGGGGGGGTTGTCATTCTGGTCCAGGATGGTGACTGTGAGAGGGACGCTGCTGTTTAAACCACCTATGTCCTCCCCAACCAGAAACAGCTCAACACGAGGCTCCTGAAACGCCTCGCGGTCCAACTGAGCCCCCTGACGCACCCGGATCATACCTGGGGGGTGAAACAGAGACATTAACAACTGTATCCAAATGACTCTCTCTGTCAACTTGCTAAGGAGTTATAATGTTACCAGAATTGGCATCCACAGTGAAGAGGTCCACCCTGGCTCCCAGCAGGCGGTACTTCACTACAGCGTTGGGTCCGATGTCTTTATCCTCTGCCAGGACTGGCCCATTTAACACTGATACTTTACTGCCTGAAGGGCGGGAGAGACAGAGAGGGCCAGGTGAAGAAGTTATATGATCACAGTCAGGTTAGAAGTCAGCAAGCATTAAATTAGAATTGTCACAAATGCACATTTTGCTTTCTATATAAACGAATTGCAATTATAATTGATAATAAGGAAACTATGACATATGACATGACAAACTATGACATATTATGCAATAATAATCTCACTGACTGCTCATCGCAAATGCAAACATTTTCAGTTGTCTCCTATCTGATTTCTAACTTTCATGGTGAAAAAAACCTGTCTCTGAATATAAGCCGCACGTAAACAAAGTCAGGAAGTGGAGTAGACAGTGTTTCAGACAGTGCTTGGCACGTTGCCCTGCGCTGCATAACAGATTGCCCCCACCCCAGGTGAAAGAGCTACCTGCTGCCGAGTTCTCTATGATCTCAGCCCTGTAGCTGGTCCTGGTGAACACGGGCCTGTTGTCATTCTCATCCAGAATGCTGATCACCAAGAGGTCTGAATCCTGGCAGAGTGGAAAGAAAAATAAAGAATGATATGAGCAAAGGATTATGTGGTATAGAGTACACAGGAGATCAAGAGTGAGGAGGAATGAAACGTATGTTCATTGGCACTCAAAGAGTCAAATTGCTGATGTGTTTTGCAGTTTCTGTGCTGCACGCTGCCCTCACAGTGCTAGTTGTTGCCTCATCTGCAGCTCTGAGTGAGAACAGTTTCTCACCTCTCCCACAAAAGCAACATCTTAAGCAGGCCACATTGTTGTTATAGAAAAAACCTTGCAGCTGTATTTTGGGTGGTTCTCATCTTTTTAGGTGTGATTCACATTCTTATAATTAGGAAGATACATGACACGGCCCATACAATAGCCAAAAAACACAATAGTACAAGACAGGTCACAAATTACAAAACGCTTGCAAAAGGAAATATGTATAAAATCCAGTTTTTCAAAAATTAACTTCTACTGTAGAAAATCTGAAGAAAATCCCCGCATAAATATGACATTGTACAATGAGTATTGTGTATTGCTTGACTTAAAGGTAGGGTAGGTAAGAATGGAGAAACCAGCTCGAATGCGCAATAATTTGAAAGTACACAACCGAAAAAAATCTGCCCCTTCCTTCAGACTTCCTTACAGAGCCCCTCCTCCAACACACACAAACGCGCACATGACCAATGAGGGCACGAGATAAGTTTGTGCACAGATGGAAGGCTGAGAGGCAGGTAGGGAATCCAATTATCTGCCGCGGGGCGAGATAGATAATTTGACTTGCTTTTTACAGCGCCACGGTTTCCACAGATGAAGTATTTGTATATATAGTTATTGTCAAAGCATTTCATTCATTCATTGCTATCGGGATGTTAAGAGCATTCCATGGAATATAACAAAAAGTGTTCCTGAAGTGAATTACCTACCCTACCTTTAAGGCAGCTTATTTACATTATGGTAAAAATATTTTAATCCAATATATTACTTTTACTACAGTAGCTCCTGAAATTCAAGACTGCCTGTTATTAATTCATAAAAAAGTGACATGAAAATATATCAAAGATCTCTCTGTTATAAAAACAGGTGAGAGTTCTAGCAGTATGCGTGCACACGAGAGTGGGATTACCCTGCGAGCGATGCGGGGGTTCTCGGGGTTGTCTTTGACGGTGATAGTGAGTCTGTACTCTGACACCCGCTCTCTGTCCAGGGGTCTGTTCACCTGCACCACACCTGTCTGACAGACACAAAGGGAAGAGGGAAGGTGTGAGTGTGCTTACATATTAATTCTCCGTATGACAGTATGTTTTATTTCATAATGCCCATGTAAACCCTGATGCTAACACGGTATAAGTGTTTTACCTTCTCTAAAGCTCTAAATGAGGTATCAGTATTCTTTGGTATATATTTATTCTGTGAGTCCACAAATGTGTTTAGCAATGGTGTAGCAGTGTTAGGTGCAGACTTAACATTAATGGTAGCTGGAAGAAATTTGAAGAGGACCTATAATGCTTTTCGGCTTTTCACTTTCCTGTAGTGTGTTGTATAGGTTGTTGTGAATGTTAATGGTCTCCAGCAGTTAAAATCCCTGTGCTCCCTCCAGAGGGAGTTTCTCTCGTACCCCCCTGCCAGAAACGCCTCAATTGGACTCTTTTGTTTACTTCCATAACATTTTTGGCATCTCTATGTAACACTCACGCTTCTAATGGCTAGTGCTCCAACACTTTGTACGTGATAGGCTAAGGGGCGGGACATTTCTAAGTGGTTGACAGAGCAGACTGGGCTCTGGTTTCAGACAGAGGGGGAAAGAAGATGATGCTGCACAGGCAGTATGAGAAAAATAAAGAGCTTTTTGAACATTAAAGCATGGAGACCGATGGCATAATGCAAGTTTAAATCTGGCTCCTTCCAGTCACGAGAAATGTCTCGCACCGTGCTTCCCCTTTTTTACCACCTGCTGCTATAGCTTTACCGCATTAGTCAAGGTCAGATTTTTATGTTTCTAAGTAAATTAAGATCAGGCTTAGTTTCAAGCCTGTGTGCCTGCATAGTGAAAAGTGAAAACACTGGAGGACAGGGGTTTTGAAATTACTCAACTTTAAAACACACCACCCCTTTTTCTCACCGTGTCATTGACGTAGAAGGCTCCATCAGGGTTGCCCGCGGTGATGTTGTAAGTGAGCAGAGCATTGCGTCCGCTGTCTGCATCTCGGGCTTGGACCCGGGCCACAGCGGTGTGTATGGTGGCTCCTTCCCTCACACTGGTGTTGTAAGGCAGGTTCAAGAGGACTGGGTCGTTGTCATTGATGTCTCGGACATTGACCCCCACCACCACCTGAAGAAAAAACACGGCAAGAAAAGAATACAACTTCAAACTCATGCCACTTCACAAAACAACATAAAAAAAAAATGTCTTGGTGACACACACAACTGCTCATAAATGAAACATAAAATATACATTTAACTTCAGTACATTTACACGTGTAGTGTATGTGTATGTATCTTGTCTCCTAAAAATTGCGTTCTCACACAAAGATACTACATTATCACTTAAAGCAAAGTCATTTCTTCCCAGACTGTGTTTGTTTTTAAAGACGCACAAATACGTCATCACACTCCACTAACATTCATGTATCACAGAGGTTTTTGCGGGATGGCTGGGTAAAACAAACAAAGGACTTTCACCCAGGAGACAGCTGTTCATGTCCCTTGTGAAACCAAATGTCAATGTTTACATTTTTCAATTAACATACTTATTTTAAGCCAACCCATGATGTTTTTCTAACTAAACCTAACAAAGTACTTATTTCACATTACATCTCCAAATAGTTTTGTTGCATATTTTTTTATTTCCATTTACTCCATGAGAACACAAGTTTTCTTCGAATTGTATTAGAAAATGTGGTCTAATTGTATGTATTAGATTGTATGGAACATATTTTCTAAGAAACAGGATTGCCAGCCGATTGCAGCACAGAAGTGACGCTTAAAAGATCCTGATTGTTAAAGAGGACCTGACGAGAGTGCGGCAGCTTGCATGTGTTTGTGTGTGTTTGTGTAATGAAGGCCCACCGAGGTGTTGCGAGACGGGGTGCCCAGGTCTCGTGCTGTGACGGTGATGTTATAGAAGGCTGTTGTCTCTCGGTCCAGCTCTACATCCTTCCTCACCCGAAGCTCCCCCTCGACTGGAGAAACCATGAACTCATCTGACAGAGAGAGAAAGAGACAGGCTTAGAGACACATAGTGAGGATTTAATAGAAGTATTACAGAATACAGGAGAATACGGTACTAACTCTGGGGATCGCCACCGGTGATGCTGTACTCCACTTTCCCGTTGAGCCCAGAGTCTTCATCGCTGGCTTTAAGAGTCCAGACCCGAGGACCCGGCTGTCCCTCAGTCACCTCGAAGGGTCCCTCAAAGGCTCTGGGGAAAGTTGGTGTTACATCGTTCACATCGAGGACACTTACCAGCACCTAAAGAATGAGGAAGAGATAATTGTATATGTAAAGGATTTCCCCACTTGAAAATTCAATTCAAATGTTGGAGCTGGTGTCTTAAGATCCAGATGCAGACATTATATTACACATAAACTAAAAGGACTTCACTATGCATGTGAAGCAGAGATAATGGATTGTGGAATCATCAACTGAACTGAGAACATGTTTTATTGGAGTTTCTGCAGGTTTCACAGTCCTCAATTAAAAATGGGATTTCTTGCAGTTGAGAACCATTGTTGTTAAATCTCTCTATTTTTTACAATAAATCCATTAACTGCTAATAAGCTAGTTTACAAAGTTTTAAGGGGATGTCTTGCCTGTCTGGCCAGCAGTTCAAAAGGCTACAATTATTTTGTTTGCAAACCATAGCAAACTACCATTGGAGTAGTAGGAACCAACTCATCTTTAGCATTCTTGCTCCTTTCATAGCTGAATGAGAATCAACATTGACAGTTGATTTTCTCTGGTTAGAAATAAATAAATAAAATTAAGCATTTATTTTCTTAGCTCTGAAATGTTCAACCTATTTAAGTCACTAGTTTAAAAGGTGTTTTTTTCTTTGGTATTTACTGTTGTGCTTGAGGTCAGGCGAAGAGCAGGATTTTCACACTGGTCGGTTGCTGTAACAACCAGCGCGTAGTGTCCTTTGCTGATCTCGTAGTCCAGCTCCTTTACGGCTGTAATCCTCCCCTAAATGCACACACACACACAGACACACAAACACATCATACACAAAAAGTGTGTTTTATTGCAGATGTAAAACTACAGTATAACAGTCATTGTGTCTCACCGTGATGCTGTTTATATTAAAGGTCTGGATCAGGTTTCCCTGAGCGATAGCATATCTCAAGGTGCCGTTCAGACCCTCGTCTGGGTCGATGGCTGTTACCGTGGCGATGGTGGCACCCACTGTTTCCGGACCCTCACTTAACACCGTGACGTACTCCTCCTCCGGAAACTCTGGAGCGTTATCGTTCTCATCCACGATGTGAACATAGATGGTGGTGGAGATCTGTGTGAGAAACAGAGACAACTTTTACTGATGCATCTACTATTTATGGGTTATTGTGTTAAACTCTGCTGACAATATGTTTCGCGCATATGCAGCTAAGTGTAAGTGTGAACATGTAGTCCATTCATCACTGTAATGTTAAAGATCCTACAGTGATTTATCATCATATTAAAGAGTAAAGCTCAAGCAAGTAAAAGCCACATCAGCAAGATTGTCTGTTAATTATGTTTTTTTGATAGTGTTCACTGCCATTGTGACTTACATATAAGGTATTCTGCTAGAAAGGAAACACAGGATTTGCTGTATTCACTCATTATGTGCATGTTGAAACATGATTTGAGGGTTCATTTAACATTGGACGATGAGCAAAGATAGTAGGAGTGTTCTTTGTGACACACAGGGGTAGATATCTTGAGAAAACCAAAAGGAAATCTTAAGATTAGCAGTGATCGCTGCTAATCTGCAGTGTAAGTGGAAAGAAGACAGAAGTGCATAACTGAAAAGTCATTTCAAACCATTTAAAAATGTTAATACAAAAGCAAAAGTATCATCATGTGGAATTCAGGTTTTTAAATTAGTTCCTGCTCCACCAGTCGGACCTCGTAGTTCCCTCCCCCCCCCCACCCCGAGTTGTCCTCCCAGTCCAACTGACTGGCTGTGACGGTTAGAGGTAGAACAGGCCTTGGAATGTCACAACATTAATAAGCTGTAAATTGTATGTATGTTCATGAGTGTTTAAGAGAGTGAAAGACGACAAATAATTAGAATTAGACTAACACATTCTGGAGAAGCTTTTTCAAGTCAAGAAATACCTCTTGTGATGTTATCAAAAAGTGCTTCGGCATTTACTACACTGGGGGCTCTATTGAAGGGTAAATTAAGTTGCATTATGGGAAACGTTTTGAACAGTGATGCCTACGCTTCTAAACTAAGCTTTAGAAAACCTTTTAAAAACAACACTCAGAATTCTTGATTAGCATTTTGTGTAAAGTACCTATCAAATTACATTTTTATAAAACCAGGACTAAGAAGGTTTTCCGGTGTAATTATTATGTATTTAATTAGATTTTGAAAGTTGTCTCCATCACTGCTACATTCATGGGGGTGGGGCACAAGGAGGGAGGGAGGGAGAGAGAGAGAGAGAGAGAGAGAGAGAGAGAGACTGACAGAAGGGGAGGAGCTGATGCCTGGTATCACGTTGCTTTGCGCTTCAAAGTTCAGAAGGATCAAGTCAACTTTGAGAAAAGGGAATGTCAACCACTTCTGTGTGTTTTGGTGTAGCGTTAGCAGAGTTTGCATAGTTTAAGCGAGATAAATTGCTTTCCAGTAAGCCAGTTATAGTTGATAAGTCAAACACTTTTCTGCTACTTTTTTTTTTTTTTTTAAACATCCACACAGCCATGGAGAGGGGACTACTCTGTCGGACATCACTCTGGGGAAAGAAGTCCGTTTTTTGGGTTTTCTCCGTTTTGCTCTGCATTAGTGGAGGTAAGTTAGTGGAGGTCAGTTCCTAACTGAGCGGCATGGCATGTGGGAACTTGTTGACAATTCTACAAACCAATTAACTGAGCTCATTGATGGGGAACAGTAGTATTTGTTTTTGGTACGGAACGAAACTCATTGACACATGGTTAAAGATAGCCTAGATTAAGTTATCTTTCAGTACATTTTAATGTGTAAAAGTTGCGTTGCGTTGAAATATAAGTTGCGTTGAAATATAGCGGGATAAATTCATGAATTGACTTCCAATAGAAACTCAATTCGCCTGATGGTGTCAAGACAGCCATCATGTTTATTTCACATGGCTAATATTACCTGAAACTTCGGTCAATTTAACAGACGGAAGCTTTTGTCTGACTTATTCGTAGCCAAGTGCACGAATTAAAAATGTCTTTTGGCTCATTTTGCATGCTTTTAAGAAGAACCAATACTGCACGTGCATATTTCTCTTATTCTATTGACATGCATGTTGACTCTGTAAACATTTTTGCCGGGAACAGTTTTAGGCTTTGCTTCGGTCGCTGCTGTTGTTGTTTTGAGACGGAACATCTGGTGTGAAGCTGTTTTAAAGCCCCACCCCATGGGATGTAGTGGAGTGTAAAGCCACTCTAAACTCAGCTTTATAACACCGCCGCAAATTAGACAGTGGTCGTTGTCGTTTTTAGACTGAGGAGCCTTAAAATGGTCGGAAATGTAAACCTACACAACTTAGCCGACGTACACAACATGACATCAAGAACGCTTTCCTACGCTATGTGCGTCTACACAGGATGCGTTCAGGGGTTTCCAGTAATTTACATATTCCGACTGAAATGTTGTTGCTACATTTTACAGAAATCTCGCGTTTTCGTGGGAGCTCTAATCAAATGCGGGAATTTATTATTTCAAGGACTTTGGCACTGCTTGAAGTTGAGGCAACTGACGCAGGAGGAGAAGTCAGAAGCAGCTGTTGCCTCCGGGCTGCTGCACTTCAAACGCCTCGGAGACCTCGCTGAGGTTATCACTTTAGGATTTGGTCTTTTCAGATAAGCTCTGGAGATAAGTCCGTCAAAGGCAACTAATGGTCTTACTGAAATTTAGGCTGACCCATCATGGACAAAATCTAAAGAAAATGTTTGCAGATACTAAGATGCCCATTGAAAACTAATTTGAAGACTGTGTTGTAATGTTTTAAAGTAGATTGTATTTTGAGATATGTATACAGGCCTGTAAACTTGAAGGCTGCAATAAAAAGACTAAAGTCTAACTTTAGGACTTCACAGTGCCCTCCCTTTGGCCTGTTGTATCTTCTTTGTTTGGAGGTTTCCTTCCTTCCAGCCTATAAGACAACAGCTGTGTGTGCCACCCTGCCAATAATGGTTTTCTCCTCCACAAAACAGGACTTGGGATAAACAGGGCAATAATCAGCGCCTCTAGTCTCTTCCCCTTGGATGCAACTCCCTGAAGGACAATAGCACAGTCAAAACATGCTCAATAAAGTCCACAGGATGCTTAGGCTCACACTCTCATTTTACACTGCTTCTCCTCCTGTACTGTCAGAGCTTGCATTGATCCACTGTACTAAATGAATAAATCATTAAAAGAGTGCAGCATCAATATAGTCGACAGGAACAGGCCTGGCCCGGGACACACAGTCTGTAGGTGTTTATGTGCAGCAGTTGTGTGGGCATACTGCATACATGAGTAACAGGAAGATAATGGTGGAAGGGGAGTCCCCCTCTTTCTTCTTTGACCTTGTAAGATCTTTAAAAACGTAAATGTCTGACAAATATGTGTTGATTTTTAAGGTGTCTGATGTTTGACATGCAGTGAGTAAGACTACAAAATACCCAAACACCAGTGGCCTTCTGGTAACGTTGTGTCTCCCACACTGGTGATTATCTATACAGCCCAAGGATACAACATTGCCAGTAACTCACAGAGCCTTGACTCTGCTTCTAGTCAAAACAGAAGAACAGCTATCTTTGGTTAGTAACAATCCAATGTGTGTCTCTAAAAGAAACAGTTTAACAACATCATCACATTATTAAAAAACAGACAGGATCCATGAAGAGAGAGGAAGCTAGCAAACTAGTTGATACCAATTAAGTCACTCTGTTGAAATGATGGACGTGCATGTGTTTCAAAATTACAAAAAGGCCCATTTACACTTTCAAAACAACATTTCCGCTGCCTTGTTGCAACAGTTAAATGAACAATTATGTTGTAAACATGTTAGGCTGTCATTACACAACCCTTAAGTGAAATGGCTAAATGTTTGAGGAACAGGAAGGTTAAAACTATGAGAAACTGAGTGTTCCCATTATTTAAAGAACATAAACACAAACAGGTTTCTAGCAAATTGGCTCCCAAAGTAAAAGACTCATCAAACGACTGTAATTGAATGTCATGGATACCTGAGAATAGTGACCGGCATCATTGACCCTTAACAACTTCCTTGTTCACGTTAAGGTAGAGCCTGTAGTGCCACATTTGATCACTTTGTGTTGCAGAAACATGCCACAAGCTTTAAATGAAACTCTTGAACAGTTTCTGTGTGTGTGTGTTTGTTTGTGTCGGGGCTAATCTGGGATCCTCCTGCTGGTTTCATTAACACCCTGTAATGAGTTAGATAATCATTACCATTACATTAGGTGTGAAAGAGGGTGGAGTTTGAGGTGCATGTGGGGGCAGCTTGTACAAACACAGGTAGAGAAGTGATGCAAGTGAAAGGACAGCGGATTTACCAGTACGTTTTGGTTAGTAGTCTCCACTTCTTCAAAACAGAAGAGAATACAACCTACTCTTGCAGAAAATAAGTATAAATGGTTAAACTCGGCATTTTACAAATATATAAAGATATGTTTAATTAATTCACTCAGGCTATGTTGCTATGTAAAAGCTGTCAGAGGCAGCATTTCCTAAACAGGTGGCATTCAAGCTTAAAACAAAGGAAGGCCTGTTTCTGGGCCCTGAGGGGCTATCAGGATCCTGAGAGCCGAGATCAGAGGAGGAAACTTAGATCCATAATGGAGCCAAAACACAGATGTGTGGTGTACACAAGTGGAAGAAGTCCTGTTTGTTCCAGACCGAGGCGAAGCAAAGCTGTCGGTTTTACTTATTAGACGCTTTTATCCAAAGCGACTTACATACTCAATACTGTGGGCAATCACAACAGGAGCAATTTGGGGTGAAGTGTCTTGCCCAGGGACACAACGACATGCTGACTGCAGTGGGGTTTGAACCTGTTACCCCCTGATCCCAACACCAAGGCTCTACCACTGCGCCACACGCCTCCATAAACCACAGGAAGACAGTTGAGATAGTGCTGACACTGTGCTAACCCCACCCAAATTGGCACAACATTTGATAAAAGGAACATACAAAATATTTTAATAAGGTCTGGTCTTGTCAGTAAACCATACCTGAAATAAATCTGATGGGTATAACGGGGTTTCATAGCTGACAACCTAGCATTAACTTGGTTTGGCTCTCGGGCTTAAGTGAGAATTAACTGCATGCATATATTTTCAAATTAAATTTGTGCATTTACAGGAGTCATCACTTTAGAACAAAGGCAAAGTCTATTCGAACAACACAGCAACAAAAAACAGCAAATACTCTCTCAAAGGTAGCATATCTATGTTTTTTTTATTGTTTGTATTTTTCTCAAATTGGTAACTAAGTAAATAATGTGAACCTTTGCACATTCACTAATATAGTTTTCACATTCCCGCTTAACTTTTTTATTTAAAAGTTTGAATTGTACATCTTTTTTATTATAGTAATGTTTCTTTGGTCCATGCGGAATACACCAGAGAATATTCTGTGTTTCTGCATATAAACCGGATTCTGAAACCCATCTCCAAGTGTAATTAGGGCTTCTCAAACCATTGAAGGGTGATAAAATAGGAAACAGGGAGTGGGCAGGGCGGGTGTGAAACAGGAGAGCAGAAGGGCTTCCTCCCCCCCATTGTCCCACCACGCAGGCCGGAACAGCCGTGGGGGCAACAGTTTCACTTTAATCGCCCTCCCTGCTCTTCCTATTGCTTTTCCTAGTTCACAATGGCTATTGCAGCGCTCAAAGCACACACAGGAACACGGCCCTTACCTCTCACTGTTTGACAAATACACCGGATGCATACTGAATATGCAGACTTGCAGAGCTAATCAAATAGCAAAGGTCATTTTGTGGGCAGCTACTGAATCTCCTAATCAGAAGAATGAAAAGCAACTACTCTATTGTTGACATTTATACAAAAACAACTTATGGGCTTCCTCATTTCTTCTGGCTTATACAAAAGACTGTTGTTCTGTAAAATAGACTTTCAAGCTTGTTGCTGTCCAATCTGTGATGTAGCAGCATGTACTGTGCCTTTTGACGGAAGATTGAAAACACCTGCAGTGACATCATTACAGATTGAGGTGTGGGTAGAGGTTCAATCTGTTTAAAATGATCAGTGCGTGCAACAGCAGCTGTAGCCCTTCAAATGTAGTCTTGAGTGGTATGGAGCCAGAGATGGAGGAGTGGGAGCAGTGTTCCCTTGGCTGGGAAGACTCAGGAAGGAAGTCCACTCCCCAGTTCCTGGCACTCACCAGTCACACAAGATTTTGGTGCAAAATCTCTTATCCCTGGTGCAAACTGCAAAATTACATTTTCATGCAGTCCACCCCCATATATACTTGTGATTCACACAAAGCCTTCCTGTCATTTCTGCAGTGCTAAGCATTCTTGGATGCTAAGGCACAATCTGTTGCATACAAAGAATGGTATTGATCTATTTAAGCAGACAGAGAGTTGTCCTGTTGCTTTTCATCCTGTATATAAGTCAGTCATTATGTCTGTTGATGCTCTATTATGGTCTGCGTAATATTGGGGCATTGTGATGTTGAACTGCATTTATGTGTGGAGAGTGCGTTCAGACTGCTTAGCCGGAGAACATTTTGTTTAATTGTGTTGCTTTATTGAAATAATCACTAAGCGCACACATTAAAGAGTTCATCTATTGGTGCATTCTACTGCCACAGTAAAGAAGTCAGAACAGGATGTGGTTAAAGGTTGCATGTCAGAGTGAGAGGTTTTGTGCAATGTGTAAAGAAACATCTCACAGCTGACTTTTTGGTTTCCTGAATGTACAGAAAAGGTATTTGCAGGTAATCTTTGCTTTCTGAAACCCAAAGAGCTATTTCTCTGCAACCCCCCCTGCATGATACCACATAGCAACCGTCAGTGTTTATTGCAGACATTTTTAAAACAAAAACCTCAGTCCAACTTCAAGAATTTCCCTGGTTTAACATAAGATCTTGAATAAATTGGCTTGCGTGTCACTTTCTGAGGAACAGGCAATTTATATCCCACTGGGGGTTAGTTTATTTACTTTAGCCAGTAGACTATACTATCTTTAACCACGGTATGAATAAACAGAACTGGAAACAAACTGTGCTGTCTCAAAATGCACAGAAATCAAGGACGCACGTTGTGTGCAGAAATAGCCCATGGGAAATTGTCTGACTTCGGCTTGAATCCACGTGGAGATTGCTAGTTGCTTTATTTAGTTTTTGCAATGTGGTTATTTGTGTTACGACTCGTGGTACCAGTCATGAACTTGATCCTACACAGCTTAAACCAAACCAAAAACCAAATAATTTGAATGGAAATGTGATTTACCAAGCAATTTCCTGTTTGAATGTTTAAGGGTATCTTATGTTATCAGGGCTATATCTTTACCAAACTTTAATCTCCTAACAGAAAGCTGTAATATTCCAAGGGTATGTAATGTTTCATGCAGATTCAGAATATAAATCTCTTGGATTTTGTTCCTTGGAAAATCTAGAAGCCATGTAGTTCTTTCCTCTGGTTATAATTGTAATTTTAATAAAGATAGCTTCCCTGTGTTGAGCTTTGCAGGCACTTCCTGTAGCTTTTACTGCATACAAACAGCACGTCCTTCACCAGGATTGGCAGGTTCTAAAACATTATCATCTCTTACCTTTTCATTGGACAGCTTTTAGTGGTGGTACACAGACAGGGAGGTCTGATTGAAAGGTCTAACCGAGGGAATGAAAGCTGATGAAACAGTCTTATGATTTACCTACATCCTTTCATACATGTATTTTCTCTTTAGGTGAAGGCGAGATGTCCCGTGCCCACCCCACCCTCAGTGTTTCAGCGACCCACCTGAACTACATCTGTCCCGAGGGTACTACGGTCCAGATGGTGTGCGCCCAGAAAGGAGTCACCTTGCACCACAGTGATGTCTTGAAGCATGCCTGGCTCTACACCCCCCACAGAGAGCAGCAGTGTACGGGACGGACAGGCCCGCGCCATATTGTCGTGGGCGGTCATTCCCATGGCAACCACAGCTTGCCGGCAGGGCTTAAATTTGGATCATCAGAGCTCAACTTCTGGGTGATTCTGCAGAATTTGACCCACGCCGACCAAGGTCGTTACTGCTGTATGGTGCTGGACATAGAGAAGGGCCGCAAACACGGCACCATCGTGCAGAGACCCCACAGCCACATCACCCTCCAAGTAACACCACGTAAGCACATCAAATGTATGGGTGTGAATGTAGGGCTGGGATATATATCACTTTAATATGGTGATATTAGACTTGTCTTGGTTTTGGATATCGTAGTATCAAAGTGTTGTCTTTTCATGCATTAAGTAATTTTCATATTTTACCATCCTGTTCCAAAAGTTATTTTAATTGGCTTAACCTTCTTAGTCATTGAATCCACATTACTGATGATAATTTATCTAAATACTCATTGTGTAAATATTTTGAGAAAGCATCAATTGTCAATACTACAATATCGTCCAAAAATGTTTATAAATCAAAAAAAGTTGTGATATATGATTTTCTTTATATTGCCCAGCCCTTTGTGAATTTGTAGTAAGTTATCATGTTGTAAACTGCTGATGTTGCAATTAAAAAAAACACAGACTAATCCTACAATGTGATTTCCTACATGTGAGAAATAATGTATTTGTCTTTTTTTCTTTCCAGGAAGCAATGGATCTCTAAACTGCACTGTCCAGGATCCCTCTCAAACTGGAGGTATGTCACCTTATTCAAGCCTTCATAGCAAATATATGACTGGCTGGGTATACTGTTGGTTTAACACACAGCCTCTGTTGCTTCCCTAAGGCTTCGCTCCAGTGGCCGGGGCCATAGCAGCCTTCATCTTGACTCTGCTTTTCCTGCCTCTTATTATGGTGCTTGTGTACAAACAGAGGCAGAGCACCCATTCGAGTAGACGTAAGTATTACACACACACACTAGTTCATTTCCATATCCATGCTATGGGTCAAATATAAATGTTTCTCACTGGGCTCCTCATAGTGTTTTGTCCGACACATGGTTCCTGTCCGTGAGTTGGATTAACTGTACAGTAGTTCACACAGTAGGAAGCCCATTCACACTCTATCTAAAGTGTTCCGCTCCGTTTCAATTCACTCACAATGGCCCATTTCCTATTTCCTCTCTCACAGGTGCACAGGAGCTGGTGAGGATGGACAGGTACGTTTTCCCACAGTCTAGGCGAGGTTCAAAACACAGCTGCTCTTCAGAATAATAACTGAGTGCATGGATATTCCAATACAGACAACCGTTTTCCTCCACTAGGTAGATTAGACCAAAATAAGCATCATATCCATGAACCTTTGTTTGGTAAAGGTCTAGAAACAGCTTTAGTAAATCAACAAATCATTACTAGAGTCATTTTGAGACATGACACTACTACAAAAAGGACTTCTGCCCAGAACATTGGCAGTCTTTAATTGGCTGTACACAGTATGTTATTTTATGTAACAATGGATGTTATTTAGCGGAAAATCTGATAGCTTATTCAACAGCGCAGTGGGGGACAGTTTAATGGCTTACAACAGGAAGAATTTGAGTATTTGAGGTCTTGAGCAACAGATAAGTGTTGAAACAGTTTATTGGGTCATTCTGGCAATGTCTTACTCATCGTTATGCTTCCCTTTTGTGGTGTGTTCTTTGCATGTTTTCAGTGAGGCTCTTGGACATGAGAACCCTGTGTTTCTTGGAGGATCTCCGCAGATTAAGACCCGGACAGTTTCTCAAATCATGACCAGGCAATCCTCAGAGACAGGACGCCACCTGTTGTCCGAGCCCGGAACCCCCCTCTCTCCTCCTGCACATGGGGATGTATTCTTCCCAATAGAAGGTAGGACGCACGCACGCACGCACGCACGCACGTGCAGACATGTTCAGTGCTGCTTGGTGAATGTTCTTATACTTTTCTGGGTCTACAAGGCTCCAGAAATGTTGTGAGTTTTGCTGAGACTTAAGCTGAACATGATTTTGGAGATTTATAACCTCCATTTCCATCTCCACTGGATTGACACTGAACAGTTCAGCCATCTTTTTCTTCTTCTTCTTCTTTATCTTGACATTAAATTATAAACCATAATAAATAAATTGTGTAGGTCTAGCCTCCCTATATCTGTGTGTGAAATTGTTCCATCCTCAAAAACAAAGAATGAATACTTCTGCAGTCTAGCTGCAGCTTCTAGCTACGGTCTTCTGTTAAAAAAAAGACACTGAATGTCTTGAATGTGGCATCACACACATGACTTGAGTCTGAACACAGCAGACAACAGGAGTGTAACAGCATTATAAAAACAAAAATAGTGCATGTGGGTGCACCCTTACATTCTCTGTCTTACTGTTACATAAATCCCATGAATGTATGAGATTAAGTTGGCTTAATCATATCTCAATCAGTGATTAAGTGAATAATAAAGTTTCTATCGGGTCACTATCAGCCTGTCACTCATTATTTTCAGGGGGGGCGGGGTTTGGAGGAACGGAGAGGAGATGGTGATCGCTGAAGCTTTCCTCCTGCCTTCACAAACTTTACACACGTATCAACTGAAATAGCAAGAGGACATTTGAACTCTGCAATCAAGACTTGATTAAATCCACCAAAAACCTGACATGACGATAATGAGTGTTTTTCAAAAAACACAAATCCCTCCCTGTGTGTCTCTGAGCCGCAGCCACAGGGCCTGATTCAGAGCGGGTCATTCTGCTGTTGGTTCTGGACTGGTGTTGGTGGAGCAAGCAGACTGCTCCGTGTGTGTTGTCGCTGTGCCGCTGTCACGTCTGTTCCTTGATCTCTGCGTCAGCGAACAATTTGATATTCGTGACACAAAAAATTCTAAAATAAAAAAACGTTATTGTCCAGCCGCGGCCCAAAAATCAAGAAGCAACCTTACTACGCTATAATCGATAATCGAACGGCGAGCTACTGAAAAGCTGCCCACGAGCTACCGGTTTTCCCCAAAATCTCATTATGACTAGCATCATAACACAATAAAAACCAGCGTATGAGATAACTCACTTTAAGTTAAGCTGTGAGTGTGTACTATATCTAATCGTAAGTCACAACTTAGTAACTTCACTCTGAATGCATACACTTGACTTCCTTCACATTCTTGTTTGATACTACAATGACTAAAGAACTTGACTAGAGGCACGTAACAGTATTGCACAAGGAGTTCTGGAAATACCAATTTCCAAATGCACAACCGGTATGTTAAAAAAACTGATGCAATCAAAGAACCATGGCTTTGCGTTTCTGCTGAAACGTCCTGCGTGTGGTAAAGTGTTGGCGGAGAGGATGCGCACATTCTTGTGCAAAAGTGCACGCTCACACTCAAAACAGCTGCGTTGAGTCTTATATGACTAACAAATATTCTGTGTAGGAATTTAATTTTGCTCCCCCACACAACTGAAAGCTCCTTCTTATGCTGTCATCCACTGAATTCTTGTCTTGCTTCACTCGCAAGTCATTCTCCACCCATCAGCACTCTCATTTAACACTAATGGGCCCTTCAGCCTTTCGCTCAGACTCGACTTGAAATAATACTGAAACATTAGTTACGGTGAAGAGGTTCAATTCTGAGTGTTTTTCTACCGATTCCCGGGGCACCTGTGCAGACATTCCAGGCATACTGAGCTGGATTGCCCTGCTTCCTGGCAGCCGTGTCTATGATGGTACAGAGGAAAGAACAAAACAAGTCTGAAAAGCAACCCTTAACCATCGCATATGCTGTTCCTGTGACCTTAAACATTGGGACCTGATAGAATACTCTTGGTTTCATATCTAGCTACATCTATGTTTGTATGTAATTGACTCATAAAACCATCAAACCCCTGATATCTTTCATCTTTGTAGTGTAAGCTTATTTCCTTTATCGGTCTTCAAAATGATCCAGAAGCGTTGTTTCTTGTCTGTTGTTCTGTGTAGCATGGATAAAATCCACATTTCAGATGCCTTGTTCATCTTTTTGGCTCGCTGACCTTTAGCTTTGAGGAATTTAACTTGCAGCGGTTCCCTCTTATCGTCAGTGTTTCGCAAAAAAAACCACAGCCTCTTTGTTCTGCTTTTCAATGGGCTCCAAGCAAAAACATCTTATTCTGAGGAACCTATTGGTCTCTGTTTATTTGTACTACTCATTTGAATAAGAGGAATGGAAAAAGAAATGCTATCGTGCGCATTTTGACAAGATTTGTCCCTATTTTCAGGCAGGAAGTGCAGTATTTAAGATGTTAACTCCCACATATCTACATTTTCAAAGATCAGCACAAAGACATGAAATGTTCATTTGTGTGGGTTAATGCACGTCGATCACCCACTGCCTTCTCTATGCTCTCTCTGACATGCACTGTTCTCTATTACAGACACCATCTTTGAAACTCAAGACTTCATGCAGGTTTAAAGGGGCTGGAACCTGCTGACCTGGAAACAGTCCTGCTACTCTCTTCCTCTTCTTGCTGCCTCCAGTGCGATGTTGCCCTTATCAGCTGTCTCACAATAACCTCTGCTGGGATCTTCGTCTGTACATTGTCTGGACCGCTGGAGGGACCAGACTGCCGTTTTTATTTAAAAACAATTTCCACCTGCAACAACAGCTGGAGGCCAAAAGCAAACTTCTGCCGGTGTGCAGTTGAGATGTTGGTTTGTGTGTGATGTTACGTCTACACACTGACAATGACTCCGGGACCAACAGGTGCCCGCTGCTTGAGAAAAATCCAGAGTGGATGGGGGTCCACCGTGTGAGGGGTGGCATGTCAAAAGGGATACAACTTGTTCTGTGGATTCAAAGAGCACCTAGTTTAAACAAACTATGATATTTGCTTGTCTGTGTCGTTTATTTAGGCTGGTGTGCACTCTGTGATTCAATCTGGTGCAGACCCAATCTGCTCTGGTGCGGTTTGTCTGTGGTGCGGATGCAAAGACAACCAAACATACGATTATGTGGTAGAAAGTAAATGACAATAATCTCAATAACGTGACCAAATTGACATAATCCATTTGATGGATGAAACTTTCAAGGAAGGATTTGGTAAACATAACGATTCCTACATTACGACGTTGAATACATATTATTTATCACTGGCTGTCAGATAATGGAGTCCATGTCCAATAAATAATGACAATCACTTAAACTCTTCAAGGGGTCATTAGGAACACCAAAAGGACCGAAAGTAAAATACAACAATTCATATTTATTTTTCTAGTAAGTTACCAAAGGCTCTCTATGATCCCTACCTTTAGAGCAAAGTGCTTCAATAGCTTCATACCAAAGGAGGATACAAAGTGTATTCACAAGTTGAAAGTGTTTTTAAAGCATTACAGACTTCCTCTGTATCATTCCACTAGACCACAGCTTATTTTCTCTTCCCTCTTTGCTACCTCAGTTACTGTCACCTCTGCTGCTCTAAATACTCTCCTTACTTCCTACTATCAGAAACGCAGCACTTCACAGTGGCTTTAAACATTCAAATGTTTTTGTATTAATAATTGTTCATGAATCTCATTCCTGCTCATGTAAAGTTAAGAGATCATGAATAAAATGATGATTATTTTTGTCCTGAATGTAACAGATTTCTATAAGAAAACAGTATCATAGAACTGCCAGCTGTTTAATCACTGCCATCTCAACACTGTTTTGTCTTCTTTTATTTGGTTTAATTGACAACATGTGTATATAAGTGTTCATTCATATGTGTGAGCATGCAATGTGATGTTAACGAGTAAATACTATTAAGCAAACATGGCTTAATGGCATTCAAATTGTTAACCATATCATATTGAGGTCGATTGAGAGAGAACAAGAAGTTCTTGGTAATGACTGTTATGTGAATGCCTATTACGTAGGCTGTGTGTGACTGTGAGAAACCACTGGTGGTTATTTCATATTGAGGTTAAATGTGTACAGCAGGTGCTTAGCGGAAATCATCTCAAAATGATATGTAGCAGGTAAGTAGGACAGGGTATCTTTCTATTTTAAATTTGAATTCTTTGATAAAAAGTGGCATCAAGGTTTTTAAATGTGTGAATTTGAGTATGTGTGTATGTGTGTGTACTTGGGTTGAAGCTTCAAGAATAGGTTTGTGGTTTGGTGGTCTGTGTGTGCATACTCGCATGCAATTCTGCATCTGAATGTTTGAAAGCATGTTTTATACTGTACAAAGCTTGCATTGGACGCAGACATGGAGGAGTGCTGCAATAGCCTTTTTGTTTTACAGTTTATATTGCATTTAAATAGCGTTGGTTGTAGCTTGTATAATAAAGTGGAGCTCTTAAAACCTTAAAGCCATGTGTCTAGTCTTTGAAATCATTGTTCCTTTCAGCTGGCGGGTCTCCAAAACTATCACCACACAAGGCTGTGCTGCACTTCATGCCTAGGGAGCCATTACAGACGGAACAAGGTTGTTCTGCTTGTGTGCCTCTAAGATGGTGCACACCAGAGGGAGACTGGCATTGAGGGGAGAAAATGATAAAACAATCTTGGTATCTTGCTTTATGAGAGGAGACAGAGAGCTAGATGGGAGGAGGGGGGGTGCCTGTTGCTGGATATTTAATCTCCAGTTTTTTTACAGTTGTTTTTATATCTTACATTAACAAGAGCTGTATTATTATAGGTTGGTTCTACACATCTTACGGTTTTAAAACATAACACAGGTGCAACATAAACCTGTTTTCAAAAGCCTTTAAAATGAGACAGACAACAGGAAAAGAGACATGGAAATATGACTTGTGGCTTTCCTGTTTACAAACTAAGTTGTTTCCTGTGCCTTCACAGCTGATCAGTTACTACAGAAGATCAACCAACCATTGCATTTCATTTGCTGGGCATGTCTTAGTTTGTTTCATATCTAATTTATGCTATATCTTGATTTAAGGCAGGTATAGAAAAAGGCAGGTAACATATATAGTATACAGCCTCCCTGGAATAATTCCATCTTCCAGATTGTACAACAACCGCGAAAGAAGGGCTCTTTTAGAAGATGTGATGCTGAGTCCCCCAAATGATCCCTCTTTGCCAAGAGGAAGTCATCCCTTTGTAGAGGTTTCTGCATTTGACTTTGTGAAAAAGGGTGTATTAAGTTTGACAAAGAACGTTTTGGTTGCTGTTGCCTGTATCTTACCGACAGAGGTGGCGTGCCGTCGTCTTCCACAGTGACAGTAAGTCGGTACTCTTGCTGGCGCTCTCGGTCGGGGGGGGCCGGCCGTGTCACCATCTCTCCGGTGACGCGGTCCATGCGGAAGGTCAGGTCCTGGTTTCCAGCAGTGATGTAATAGAACAGCATGGCGTTGGGCCCGATGTCTTGGTCTGTAGCTATCACACGGAGCACTGATGTACCTCCGCCAACATTCTACAATACACATAATACAAAGAAGGCCAAAAGCACAAATCATGTGAATAATTTGTTAATATTGTGCAAATCACAAATTAGAACTGATTACATTACTTTAGATACATACAAAACAATAGAAACCTGTAAATCATGTGTGGATAATTAAAATGTGGTAATGCATCCCTACTTCACTGATGCTGACGTTGTAGCCCTTCAAGCTTTCTATGACAGGTGCGTTGTCATTGATGTCCAGGATGTTGATGGTGAGGGAGTGGTCAGAGTATCTAGGAGGTGAGCCACCGTCAATGGCACGAACCTGTAACAACATACACATGCACCGGTTTATACTAGTAAGTAAGTCTGACATGCACCTTGCCTCATAAAAACACAGTGCTGTCCTTTATGTTTGTATATTCATATTTTGATATGATCATGTGAGTTTGAAAACTACAACACATTACTTGCATTGTCTAAAACTCAAATGACTATGTTGTAACAAAGTATTTTTTCATGAAACAAATGTTACAAGGCATCGGGTTATTTTTGTGCTGATGTTGGACAGTTATTCAAGGTTATGGTTTAAATGTTAAATGTGTATATGACCATAAATATATATTTTTATGGTGAGTGATATCATCATAACATGTGGATTGCTGCCTGACCTTCAGCAGGTAGCGGTCTACTGACTCCCTGTCCAGAGGAGCGTTCACAAAAACCTCCCCATAGGTGTTGTTCACAGTCTTGATCTTGAACACGTCCTCCATGTTGCCTGCCACCAGAGTGAAATTGACCTGAGAGAGAGTAATGAGTCAGAATAAGACAAAGGAGAGAGAGAGAAAAAGAATAAGATAGTTGTTGGCTTAGGGTGGTCCTTCGTGAGAGGTACATTTTTTGAATTCATTTATTTTAAGCTCCAGCCACCGGAATTCGTTATACTCGTCAAGAACACTCTCCTAGTGAATTTTATTCAAATTCCAACAACATTTACCCCTCCCTCATCAACCTTGAACTTTAGCCTCACGTAGGGTCCTTAAAATTGAAAGTCGGAATTGAATTCTGGGGGTTGGAGCTTGGACTTTCCGACTTTCAATTTTAAGGACCACCCTAATGTGGCTGTGCAGGTTATAAATCCAGAATAAATCACAGCACATGTTAAAGAATAAATGGGGAGCACAAATGAGACCCCTCATTGAGTAACAGAACCAAGAGGAGACAAATACCCAAGTAATGCAACTGCATTTTTTGACTGAGGGACACAAGGGGCTGTGTTGGTTAGGAGAAAAGTAACACATGCAGAGTGTAAGAAGAAAAATGTGGTGCTAAACTTCCTGAACTTGTTATTGGAAATGCCAGAGTTAAGTTCCTCATTTAAACATACTTGGCTGATGTAGTTGACCTCATTTAAATCAACATGTTATGTTTAAAAGCTGTACAATCTGGCATCGTTTTCAGTTCCAGGAATATGTTTGTGATTTGTGATGTTATTCATTTGGCTAATTGCTGTAAAGCAGTATATATTCATTTATGTTTAAGAGTCACACATTATAATTAAATCTCTCACTGGTCCATGTGTTTCCATCTTTCTTTTATTTATCCTCACCAGTCCGTTTAATCCAGCATCTCTGTCCCTTCCCAGCACGACTGCCACTTTTTTCCCCAAGGCTGTGTTCTCTCGGATGTCCACTGAAGTATCGGATGTGATGTCAAACTCTGGACTGTTGTCATTCTCATCCAGGATTGTGATCGAAACCTGTATAGAGGTAATATAAAATATGGGCTCCATAACTTTCAAAATCAAATAAATACTTACCTTTGGGATATATGAAATAACTAAAGAAAGTAAAATCATGCAGATGAATACATTTCATCTTAAAAGATCAGAAGTCTTACCTTCTGCACTTCCAATGAGAGATGCAATGAATAAAATCAGAATGCAGAAAGAGGAATGCCATTAGGTTTTCTACAACAGAGTAAACATGACACACACTGTATTAAAAAGAACGTTGTACACAGAAGAAGGGAGATTAAATAATCAAATTCAGAATAAAGCATACCACAGTGGAGTCCTTTTTGGGTCCTCCATCATCAGCGACAACAGTCAAGGTGTACATATCGCCTTTCTCTCTGTCCAGGAGGCCGGTCACTGTGATACGGCCCTGAAACAACACACACATTGTTACATTCTATAAGATAGATGTCTACTAATGTAACAAAGCCATAGACTAACCGTATCATACAAGTCAACCACAACAGAAAACATCCCATTTCTCATCTACAAAAGGAATCAAATGACTTCAAAGCAAACAAGCTCTTTGATCAGTTTACATTCATACAGCGGCAATCTTAAATCACAGGGGGAGGGGTGTTATTGAATCACACACTGGTTAATGGATGAAGCATTTTTGGCAGAAGGTGGGTGTAGTCTTGGAAGTGAACAAAAATGTACATTGTATTGATATCTTCTTCCACTGCTCCTCCAACTCACCGTGACGCTGTCTATCTTGAAGAGGGCCAGAGCGGAAGGCGACGTGTCAGGGTCGAAGCGGTAAGTCAACTGGTTCAGGTTGTCAGCTGACTGGGCCTGCACCTGGGTCACCTGGGTCCCCGTGGCGATGTTCTCACCAAGCGAAACCTCGTACCCGGCGGATAAGAAGGCCACGGCCTCATCCAGCTCATTGAGCAGCGTGACGTAGACGGTGCAGAAGCCTTTGTGGAAAGGGGGGGCTTGGTCAGTGACAGAGACGTTCATCAGATAGGTGGTCTTGGTCTCGTAGTCCAGGTAGTCCACAGTGGTTACCAGGCCAGTGCTCACATCCACCTCAAACTTGCGGTCTGAGCCGGTCACAAGGGCGTAAGCAACGGCTCCACCATCACCTGAGTGGGATGAAGGGATAGGAAAAGCTTACAATAACCAGTCTGAAAACATGCAATTGCAAACTTTTGTGAGAGGTAGTAACACAGTAACTGGGATAAACAACTTGACACATCTTGTAACGTTTTTGCACAGCTTCCTCTATTCTATATTTGATTGAACACTGTTGTGTTTATCTTAGTTATAAGCTTGCTCTCATGTTTTGGAAAATGTATGTCACAGCACCAGATGTATCACAAGGAGTCTAAGAAACACTTTACACCACAGGAAGTGAAAAGAGGAAGTCTGTACTGTGGAGCAGAAGTAAAGATTTAAATGTCAGTTACAGTAAAGGCCAATTTTTATGTTTATGTATACATGTTATACAGCATTGGGGAGACATGAAAGAGCATAATGTAATTCAAGTACACATAAATAAATGTGACATATTTCCATGACAAAGCAGGTCATCAAAGCCATTGGGACACATTTGAGTGCTACACCGTCGTGTTTTTTTGAATTTCCGCTGTGACATGTTTACTTTAATGTTCAAAAAGGTCTTAATTTTTCTCAAACTGCCTGTGCTGCAGCACCTCTTTTCACCCTCTGTCTGAAACCAGAGCCCAGTCTGCTCTGATTGGTTAGCTGGCCAGCTCTGTTGTGATTGGTCAACTGCTTAGAAATGTCCTTTGCCTTAGTCTATTAAGTACAATGGATTGGAGAGCTAGCCAATAGAAGCACAAGTGTTACGTAGTAATGTCACTATGCTACAGTAAGTAAACAAAGGGGTCCAATGGAGGTGTTTCAGGCAGGGGGGGGAGTGTGGGAGAGACACTCCCTCTTAGGGAACTTTGGGATTTTAGCCTTTGCAGACCATTTACATGCACAAAAACCTAGATAACACACTACAGGAAAGGGAAACCCCAAAAAGCCTTATAGGCACATTAGATATAGCACCTGTTAAACAGATGTGTTAAAGAGGTTTGATGTTGGTCTTTGGAGTGGTACACGGATGTGTCAGGGTAAGTGGTGAGCTGTAAACAACTGCGGAGTGCCTGCAGAGCAGAAGTGGCCACAGTCAGCAACATATTTATATAAGTGTTATGGCTGATACTGATCAACAGGAACTGACACGACTCCCTCCGCTCAGGTCTTTAGATTGATCTGAGGCTGCACTCACCAGTGTCTGGGTCTGTGGCGCGCACCACAATCACAGAGGTGCCGACACCAGCCGTCTCCCTCAGGCCCAGACGGTTGTATTGTTGCTGGGTAAACACGGGGGCCTCATCATTGGCATCGTCAACATAAATGATCACCTGCAGAGGAAGGATATGTGGCACATTAACATCTTTGTGACCTATTCATACTTTCTGGGAGGGGCCTTGTTTTGTAACTATTACGTAATAGTACCATAGACATTATAGGCCCACTGAAGGGGCTCTATGAAGTCCACATTTCTTGCCAAATTATCTTTTGGGACTTAGGACCATTTTCAAATACAAGAACAGTTTCATTAAAATGTAGAAACATGTATGCTCTATCAAAAGAAGCTAAAACAGAACATTATTAATCCAAATAGAAAATCCTATGCCAGAGAGTGATACAAAATTAAATTTGAAGAACTCTAAATAAAAATAGAAATAAGGAGGTATCTCCAAATAATTATGCTACACGTTAAGCATGAAGCAACTGGATGACAATTGCACTTGTTACAGCCTCTTCCTCTTCCTCACCCTGACGAAGCTCCTCATGCTGCCCTCGTCACTGTTGTAGGCCTCCACCTCCAACACATGGGAGCTACTGGTCTCTCTGTCCAGCGCCCTGCGGCCTCTGGTCAGCAGCCCGCTCTGCCTGTCAATGCTGAACAGACTGTTGCTGTTGCCTGTGTGAAGAGGGAGAGTCAGAGCAAGAGAAAACAAATTTTAGTAAAACATTCAATCTAATTTATGGGTTTAGAGGCAATCTGTGTATCTACCATTCATCTGTTTTTCTTTATTAAACAAGTAAACGGAAGAGCGTCTGAGAGGCCTTTTTGCTTTTTACCTTGCTAAATGGTCTAATGGTCATTGGAGCGAGGGGCGGGGGGAAACTCACGGAAGTGATTTCAACAAAAGCACTAAATATTATAAACAAGGTGAATTTAGCGATCACAACGAAAACAGCCAAGACACATATTGAGCCCTGAACATGAATGTTATTATGGGCTGTAAATATAATAAGCCTATGTCTAAAATGGACAACATTTTTAGGAGATTTAAACTATGCTGCGATTCTGCACTGCGGTCAACTCAGCCGTCTCTTGAGTTTGTTAAAAAATGTTCTGCCATTAGTTCTTCTTGAGATTGACACTGATGGACTCAGTACTAGTGAAACTACTCCCACAAGTACTATGAGGTACTTTTTGAGTAATCCTCTGTCAATGTCCCCTCCTGAATACAAGAATGCATGTTTCTTTGCTATTGTGAATAAGCGTTAAAACACCTTTCTTCACATGACTTATATTGTTGGACAGAGTATTTTAAGAGGATATGGTGGACATGATATCAGCAATACTTCCGGTCAGTACTCCGGCAGCAGCATTTTTACCCTTGGAAAGGCTTTAGAGCAGGGGTCTCCAACCTTTTTTAGGATGAGAGCTACTTTCAAAAAATAAAACAAGTCGTGAGCTGCTTTTTATTGTTTTTTGTAGTGTATATATTTAGCACATGTTAACATTATTATATGCTTACCTTTAACCTTTGTGTGCTGTTTGGGTCAGTGGGACCCGTTTGCAGTGTTTACTAAAAGAAAATGTATGCAATTTAATTATTTTTAACCTGCTTTATTTGGGGGGGGGTCCTCACATCCTCTAGGGGGGTCCGGGGGGACGCAAGTTAAATGCATCAATCTGGTGCACTTTGAGCACAAAATGAATTGATGGATACAGCTCTCAACACTCAGATGAAAGGGAGCTGTATACTTTTCAATAATCCAAACATCTTTAGAATTTGAACACAACAACAACACAATGATAGGCTGTTCAATGGGGCTGATGTGTTGTGTAGATTCTGCCAGAAGGAAAATCAGCGGGGAGGTGCCACATTGCTTTTCTTCCCGACTGCAACGCTGGTCCCGGAAATCAAGCAAGAACGTGATTGGTCGATATTCATTGTGGGGGTGGGGGGAGGAGGGGTGTTAGATAGATATAGAGTTGTAGTAAGTAGATAGAATTCGCTATGATTGAGGTTTCGTTTATGCATAGGGTAGATTATTTTAATTACATTCCCTTTTTTGTGTGTATTTTTACATTTTGGATTTGCTTGGCGAGCTACTTATTGAGGGCTTGCGAGCTACCGGTACGACGTGTTGGAGACCCCTGCTTTAGAGTCTGGCCTGGATAGCTGGTCACAACTATCCTTCAGCAAAGTGACAACACTTGTAACTCTTGTTGGCCTCTTATGAAGCTGCTGTCTTTTAAATAGGATTATTTCTCTGACCCTAGTTCATTCCTCTCAGATTCTTCCCAGTCATTGCATGTCAGTCAATAGAGCTTCGAAAAATGTGTGAGTGAAGGCCAGAGCTAAATTATAGATTGTTTGATTGTGTAATTACAAGGTGAGAGAAAATAAATCTAAAACTACTAAACTTATTTTATTTACTTGTCCATGTTATACTTATATACTTACTTGTATTACAATATTTGCATGTTGAACTATATGCTGGATATCTTCCCCAGCCTCAAGGAAATAAAATAAAATAAATGGATTCATAATTTTAAAAAAATAGATAAAAATGTATACATTAANCCTCCTTGATTTAATGCAATTTATTTTTATTGTTTGCTCTCTCTCTTTAACGTGCATATACAACGTCATTATCGTGGTCTGCACAAACTTGTCATCATGCGTGTATTCTGCTAACTGCACTGTCCATACCTATTTGATAGGAATACATTTCTAGCCTAGGCTATTTCCTTGTTTTAGTGGGCTCGTTTGTGGGATGTTGCGGATGAGTTTCACCGAGACCGCCTGCTCTGAACAACCAATCACCGTACTGACCGCTTCTAAACTCAGCATGATGACAAGTTTGTGCAGACCACGATAATGACGTTGTATATGCACGTTAAAGAGAGAGAGCAAACAATAAAAATAAATTGCATTAAATCAAGGAGGCAATTAAAAGCACCCCGCAAACTATTATCCAATGAGCATATTTCCAGCACTTAAACACTTTCAATAACAGCCCATACCGCCGTTCAAGTCCCCCTATCATGATGAATGAAAACAATCTGCGTGTTGATGGAATGTACTTTCTTTCTATTGACGAACACGTCCTCATCTTTTGATGGCGCAATTATTTTTATTTGCGTCCCGTCAATAGCACCGACCGCACCGGGCATACCTGCAATTGCCATGAAGTTGGCTTTGATCCTGTGTAGTTGTTGATTGTCCAAAGGAAACCGGATAAACTGTTGGATGATATGTGGTCTAGAGAGCGCGTTGATGGTTTGGTTTATGGCACGGCTGACTGATGGTTGCGATATTCCTAAATCGTCGGCATNCAGCCATTTTCAGATTCTTTGTGAATAGGTCTTACTGAGTTAGGAGTCCTCTCGAGGACTTTTAAGCTCTCCTAAACTTAGGTGCTACTTTTAGGCCTAAAATACTTTGTGAATTGCTCTTAGTGAATAAAATTAGGAGTCCTAAATTTAAGACTGACACGCCCATTATGTTTAGGAGTTTCTCCTAAATTCGCCAGTTAGGAGCTACTTTTAGCCCTAAGATCCTTTGTGAATACGGCCCCAGGCGTAGAGAATAACACGATTTTCTTGTGTGTCCTCTTACTTTAAAAACCCAGGAATATTGATAATAATATATCCATCTGTCTTTCTTTTCTATTTCAAGCTGTTTCCTTCAGTGTTTTTAGATGACTCAACACACATTCTCTCCATGTCTTTCTCCAGGGGGGAACAGTGATGGAAACTTTGGCTTACGTCTGGATGGAGAGCTGAAGGTGCACAAGGATCTGGATCGAGAGGAGGTCCCGGTCTACTCCATCATCATCAAGGCTTCCAGCAACAGGAGCTGGACCCCTCCCCGGGGCCAGAGGGCAGCGAGGACCAGAGCCCTGGACCCCGCCCGGGACCCCAGCCTGCTGGAGGTCCGCATCGAACTGGAAGACATCAATGACCAGAAACCACGCTTCACTAAGGCCGAGTACACTGCAGGTAGTGTGTGTGTGTGTGTGTGTGTGTGTGTGTGTGTGTGTGTGTGTGTGTGTGTGTGTGTGTGTGTGTGTGTGTGTGTGTGTGTGTGTGTGTGTGTGTGTGTACACGTGGGGGCTAGTTGACCAACATAACTTTGCTTTCAGGAGTTGCAGCGAATGCCAAAGTGGGCTCAGACCTGATCAAGGTGGTGGCTTTAGATAATGACATTGGTAACAACAGCTTGGTTCAGTACCACATCGTTACCATCCGCTACTTCCAGTCACAGAGCAATGGCAGCGAGGACGTCGGCAGCATCTTCACCATCGGTGAGTTTAACTTTGATATTAAATACATTTTTACCTCTTACTACATGGCCTGAAAATAATCTCGGACAGGTAGTATTGGAAGCATGACAAATAAACAGGGTAATATTAAGTTTAGGCAAAACCAACAACACTTGCTTTCAATGCTTTCTGACTTGATTTTTAACAAAAATGGAGCACACAAGCAGTATTAGGCTTTGGATACACAGAAAATACTTGTTATTAGGATAAAGTGATTGTTTTATATTATATATTGTTTTTAGGGAAACTACGGAAAATCACCACACTTATGCTATTTCATCATCACATATATTAATTTATTTTGAATTAGAATTAAATAAATATTTTCAAATGCATCATTGGCTTAACAAAGACTACAAAATATAGCTATAAAGACTTACACTAGTCTATCAACATGAATTGAGTCTCACAATTAGACCCTTTTTGCCTGATTTTACAGAAATAATACATAACATAGAATGCAGTCCCACATTGTAATAGTCTTTTTACATTTGAAGGGCATGTTTGCCATTGAATCCAATATATTTATTATCAGGAACCACATACTACCCCATGATTTCCCACAGGTTTGACAGATGGTATCATCCGAACATACGACCTCTTCACCGCCTACAACCCCGGCTACTTCCAGCTGGAGATTTTGGCGTGTGATTACGCCGGACACAGCACAACCACCAACGTGAACATCTATATTCTCCGAGATGACCAGAGGGTTAAGATAGTCTTCAATGAGATCCCTGATGTGGTGCGGGAAAACCAGGAAGATTTCATCAACCTGCTGTCCAACATTACCGGAGCCATTGTCAACTTAGATGACATACAGGTAAAGACATATGCTATATAAAGCATTTGTATTCCTTCAGTTTTTGTTTATCTCAATCTTTGTCTCAATCTACTTTATGCAGTTCCATGTGGACAAGAAGGGCAGGGTCAGTTATGCTCAGACAGACATGCTCATCCACGTTGTCAACAATCAGACCAACACCATTCTAGATGTTGAAAGGTAAACCCTCCTGATGAAAATATTGTTATTCACTGCAATAGATTGTGTTGTGGGCTGAGTTTAAATGTGTCCTGGTGCTCCATGTTTCACAGGGTGATCCAGATGATAGATGAGAACAAGGAGCAGCTCAGAAACCTGTTCAGGAAACACACAGTGGTGGACGTTCAGCCTGCCATCAGTGACAAGCTGCCCGACGACATCACCACACTACAGGTCTGCGAGGCCCGGACCCCCGCAAACCCACAGGCTGCTGACGATGTTGTGTGTTTTTAAAACTTATTCTCCTTTTCACAGCTGGTCATCATCATCCTGGCTGTTCTGCTGTGCTTGGCAGGAATTCTGTTTGTCACAATGAACTGGCACTACCGCAGAGTGTAAGAACCCTTAGGCAATCCTGCATTGACGTAGATTTATTTTGAGTCATTTGAAATATGCTCAGTCATGGTAAATGTGTTTATGCTGTGAATCTGATCAACATGTTTACCTTCTCGTGTCTGACGCTGTGTTGCAGACACCAGAGGAAGCTGAAAGCCATAGTCGCAGGATCAACAGGTGAGAGGCCGCTCTGCTGGGGGGGGGTCCCAGCAGCTGTTAGCTTCAGGATGTGGCTTTAACAGCTCTCAGCAGATGTTAATGTACAGTTCAACATGTCAGTTTACTGCTCAGAATGTTTTTCTTAAACGTATCTGTCCTCTACTATCCAGGGAACCAGGGTCTGATGGATATCCTGGACATGCCCAACACTAACAAGTACTCTTTTGAGGGGTGAGATAATAGCTGCATTCTCACACTTGTTTGAGACATATTGCCTAAAATGAATTCCCACCAAATACAACGAAGTGTTATACAAGTATATACGTTATACAAGTTAACTATTTCTTCAGCAAATTCAACAAGAAAACCCCTTGTAAGAAAATAAACTGATGGTCCAACTCTGATCCAAACCGTTCTCTCCGCTGTGTTTATGACATAAATAACAATGTACAACAGGGCTATTCAATTGGCGGCCCGCGGGCCAAATCCGGCCCCCGGGTGATATTTACTGGCCCTTTGAGTATAATGTTAAAAAGTAAAAAAAAAAAATTAAAGTTTAATTAAAAAAAAATTCATTTAACATTTTTTGTTTTTGGGCCAGAGTACCTTTATTCATGAGAGGGTGTTACATTGAGAGATAGAGGGGAAGACATTGCCTGAAAACTGGCGGGCTCGGGTTTCGAACCCACCTACTAGCAACTCCTGTCATTTATTGCGTCTCTGCGCGCATCCTCGCGGCTCGCGCTGCCCTTCACTACAAGCTCGCGCACCTTCGGCGGTTTCCCGCCAATGGTACGATTAATCAAACCTGGTCAGCATAGTTTGATATCAAAATGTCTCTTTCTACGTTAAAAAAACGAAAGGTTGACACCGAAAACCGGCAATTCAACAGCGAGTGGAAAGAGAAGTACTTGTGTGTAAATGTCAGTGGGAGGCCCGTGTGTTTAATCTGCAATAAGTGTTTATCGGTGTGTAAAGAGTACAACTTGAGAAGGCATTTTAAGACAGCTCACGCCAACTTTGACGCCACCTTTCCAGCGGGCTCTGATGCTCGCCGCCAGAAGATTTTGGGGCTAACTTCGTGCTATGACTAAAGACGTAGCTCCCTGTTTCGGGCTTGCACTGACCAAGAGAGAGCTACCGCAGCGTCCCTACGAGTGGCCTGGATATTAGGCAAAAAGAAAAGGCCTTTTACGGACGCAGAGACAGTCAAAGAGTGTATGCTTGCATCAATTGAGGAAGTGGTTGCAGATGAGAAAATCAGAAAAAGCGTTAGTGACTCAATTAAGAACATTCCGATTTCTGACACGTCAACATCAAGGAGAGTGGAGACCCTTGCATCGGACGTTTTTGAGATTCTCTTGGACAAACTGAGAAAGGCGGAGGTTATGTCGCTAGCTATTGATGAATCCACTGACAGCAGCGATGTTGCACAGCTGTGCCTCTATGTTAGATTTTTTGATGGTGAGTGCTTTCGGGAGGATCTACTTGGATTAATTCCTTTGGATGGACACACGACCGGCGAGGTGATGTTCCATAAAGTGGTTTCGTTTTTCAAGGAGCACAAGTTGGGATTGGATCGTATTAACATGCTTGTAACGGATGACACGCCTTTCGTAGATCCTTAAAGATGAGTTTAACTGGATTTTGGGGTGCTTTGAGTTTTGAAAAATCTTAAAAAATTATCATGAAATAAACGATTTAACGTTATTACGATGGATGATCGAACTTCGGGGGGATCTAATCATACGCACAGTCTTTCATTACGCTTTACTTTATGTACACATAAGAAATCGTAAGTTCAGTTTTACGCTTATTTGTTTATATTTATGTTTGTAGAGACAAAAATTTAGAATCAAAAAACACGAATATTGAAAATTTCCTTAACAGTTGTAACGACCTATTTATTAACAACTAAAGTTCTAATTTAGACTCGATCTATCGAATCTGCGAGTTTTGTAACCGGGTAGGCCCAAAGAAAGTTTAAAGTGTAATGTTTGTTTTTTGGAGGAATTCGAGTGATTAGTATATAATAATATATAAATAACTTGTTCGCTGATCTATCTAACCGGAAGAGTCGCCGCCGATTTAGAGGTAAATCTCGTATAGAAAACAAAGGAGAGGCTCACGCCGCTGTTTCGGGAAGGTTTTCGACGGTCACCATACTATTAGACTAGTGTTAGAACTCGTTGGTCGTCTTCCGCTCTAATAGTTTTGACTCCTCTAACTTAAACCGCTAACATATAACGTTAACTACCACAAAATTCAATTAATAAAATTGTTTTTACGACTTTTCGAACGAAACTTTTTTATTTAGAGTTTGGCCAAACTTTCGTCAGAATGACTGGACTCTGGCGTCCACTAGTTACACTTTCTATAACTCAGTACGACACAACTACGGATAGAAAGGACAAAATTAACTCGAAGATTATACAGATGTTAAGTTCTACAACGAAATAACGTAAAAAGTTGAGCACAAAAGTTTAGTAATACGGATAACAGCAAAAGACATATGTTTGTCTTTAAGATTTTTTTATTAGTTAAAATCTTAACATCAACGAATACGGCCGACACCTTAATAAATAACCCACGTTAAGTTAACCGAACGGTTGCCTAAATGCTTTTCGTTGTATTAGATTTTATTTTTTGCTAATAAAACCGACGCACGAAAAAGCGGGGAGTGGAATTTTTCGGGAAGAGCGCGGTCAAACAACCTCACCTGTTAATCAACACGACTCAAGTTTCGCGCTCGCTTCTAGCCGTCTTTGGTTCTCCGTTGGCAACTTTGTTCTTTCCGTTTTTGCTTAAGACGACACAACCACACCCTTTAAATGAAACACCCAAATTTTCCTTAGGCTGCACGGGCTGTTTTTCTTTTCATTTGGTCGACGTTCGTTCCCCCGCCTGATCGGTAGACCACCAAGACCCTTAAGGTGTCTTAACGTTATGAAACGTCAAACAAAACGAACAAGCTGTAAATATGAATTTTCAAAGTCCCAATATAGTTAACAATTTTCTATGACAAAGTTTAACAAAAATCAAGTTATTTTACGCCGTAACAGAAAAGTTCTTTTAGTTACTTTTATAGCAAATAAATTAATAGCACGCCATAGTAAATAAAATTGGTTTGTATTAGCAATAATCCTAGAAAAACGATATTTTAGCTTCGGGGTCGGTGGAATGTAAGATGTAGAGGGTAAGGCCTCAAACTAAGAAAGCCTAACGGGGACGGACAAGTTAATGAATGTTACATAACCTATAAGACGGTAATAGACCTTGCGACCAGCGCAAAGTAAGGGTTTACAAACAACGGAATGCTGCTCTTGTTACATGTGGTCCCGATAAGTTAAATCAAAACCTTACACCCTGGCCAACTACTTTTTTACTTCAGTTTCGCGTTCCCAGCCGGCTTTTTTACCGAAACTTTTATACCCGCGGTTAGTATAATTCTGCGAAAAAGTTCTATGTCATTTAATAAATGTCGTCGCAGGTGGGAACTTTTTCTCGTAGTTACGTAGAGTTAACGCTAAGTGGACGTAATTTAACGCTAAGTTGGACGGTTATTTTTTTTCCATACTTTACCTTTTTACTTGAATGTTTTTTCCGCTACACCCAGCGTGATATAAAACAAATTAATTTTAAGGTTGTACCGGGGTTTCGCGGAAAATATTTTAGACCGTTTTCAAGTCTTGAGTATGACACTTTCCGGATTACATTGGTTAGTTGTTTAAGTAAATCTAAATTAAAATTACTGAGCTTAATCAAAGTGTGTTTATCGGTTAAAATCCCGCGCTAATGTGTTTTTTTGTTGTTCGAAACGGTATACAGGTACCATATTCTATCTTTGTTAATTTTCTGTTCACTCGGTAGCCTACGGTTGTAAAAGTTAACGAAATTAATTTTTCGTTTTTCGTTAATAGTTTTTCTGACACGCATAATTAATGGTTTCGTCTTGGTGTGTCGTCGGAAAAATTTTTGAGTTTTGAAAAAACTAATTGTATCCACTAATTGGACCTGTTAATGTCATACGTTGGTTTGAACCGTCGTATAATCACGGTGTAGATGTGACTCTGCCTTTGAACGTAAAAAGAGCTAATCGTTCCTCGCTCCCTCTAAGCCCTCACTCATAGGTGCAACAGTACCGTTATGTGCGTAATGTCACCTCACGCGTCTACTGACCAGTCACCTCCGCCTACGAGCTTAATAACGTCAAAAAATACCCGTAAGTACACACTCTTACGGCTAAGCGTGCACATCATCAGCTCGGTTTGTAAACACTCGCTGTTTTCACGTTCTGGGGACTTACTCCGCGGCTTAAAGAGCAACACCGACTTGAAGTAGTACTCAAGGTCCTTGAAAGTCTTTTGGACGGTGCGGACTTACTGACAGCGTCGCAAGTAAGACTGACTGACTTACAGTTACTCAAAAGCTCAACATTTCTACGGAGTAAATTACGAGGTTAGTCGAGGAAGACGAAAGTGACGGTTTGAGGGGAGATGTAAGTGTCTCTTTCCCGCAGGAAGTGTTCTTAAAGAGGTAGTGAAGCAGCCCCTCTGACTTTTTACAAGTTTTTGGAAGCGCCGTGTTCAGAACCAAAAGTTAACGCAGGTATTTTTAGGGTCAGTAAAGTTGGGAGCCCACTAAACAATTTGGACGTCACGCGTACGCAACCTTTAACCTCGTTAAAACGGACCTGTAATCTAGACGTGTGTTTTTTCACACTCGGAAAGAAAACCTTTGCGTACCTTCCAGAGAGGTGTTCAAACACATTTGGTAAAATAGAGACGGGACGTGTCGAGGTTTTAACTCAACCAAAGTCTACAACCTTTTTACAGGCGAGGTTTTTCGTCTTTGTCGTCGCATTTTGAGTAGTAAGAGATAGTTTCTGTTGTCTTCCGCAACCGAAAAAATACAAAAACTTAACGCCTCTTTTGCGGGGACTACTAGAGGAGGAATTTCAAGTGTTTACAGCAAAGTTCTGCAAGGAAACGAATCGGTAGATTACAGTGACACGTACTCGTTTAGTAATATTAGCTCCGACTTGTACAGACTGTTGTAGAGACCGCCTTTTCCGCCAACGAACAATTTTGACCTTCAATTGTTGCTTAATTTTCAAATTATTAGCGGTACTTGTCTCAGGTAAACACACAAAAAATTTTCAGGTGGTGAAGTCAAAACGCGTGTCCTCCGAAACCACCCATACTCCGTTTACTTCGCTTAGAGTCGACACCCTCGGTGTAGGACGGTCCGGATCGCCCTGTCAGGACACAAGCCGGGCTGTAGNAATTAAGCAATTGATGTGGTATGGCTCACTTGTCTTTATTGTTATTATACCATAATATGCACTGTTGTTTGTGTTTGGCCCTAAATTGCTATTTTGTGTGAATTATTAGATCATTTAATCTAAATCTAATGATGTTGATGGTTATATTAGCTTCACATGTACTGAGTTCTGAACTTGCCATTTATAAAGGCCTTGGGGCTATATTTGATTTAATTAAACAAAAATATATGCACTCCGCTATGCTCTTGTAGTCATTTCATTTCATTTCAAACCTTTATTTATGCAGGTGAATCCCATTGAGATCATTGATCTCTTTTTCAAGGGTGACCTGCTGTAGTATTTACTGTATCTAAAGCTCTTAATATGATTGCTCATATTTCAAGCCATTTTTTTCCCGGCCCCTTGCTTTGGATCATTTTCATCAACCGGCCCCCATTCCAAACTAATTGAATAGCCCTGATGTACAATAACAAATCATATCAAACTGGAAAATGGTGCTGTCATTTTTTCAGCACCTTTGATTTATTAGCTCTGAATATCAATGAAAAGTTTTTTTTTTATTTTAAGTAGTTTGATGTTCTGTAGCCAGGCAACAAGCGTAGACTCCAAAAAGTCACTGCACTCAAGCATGAAATATTACCAACCCCCCTTAAAAGTTAAAACCATGTATTGTTTTAACAATGTGTTAATTAGTGAGCTTTAAAGAAGCTGGTTTGCATTGTTACAGTGGGAAGACAAGTAAAGCCTCTCCTAGCTCTACATGTAGCATACACACAAAAGGAAAGGGGTATCTAACTTCTCATTAAGTCCCATAATATTAGTCTTATACAACAGCTAAAAACTAGCTTGTCATACTGCACCTGCATTTTGCAGGGCTAATCCTGTGTGGCTGGATCCGTTCTGCCGCAACCTGGAGCTGGCTGCTCAGGCGGACCACGAGGACGACCTGCCGGAGAACCTGAACGAGATCACGGACCTGTGGAACAGCCCGGCACGCACGCATGTCAGTACCAACGTTAATCTGAGGTCGTTTATACAATAAAACAATACCCTGAGAAACGGATGTAACACCATATAAAGCTGACGAAAGCATGTCTTTCCCACAGGGCACATTTGGTCGAGAGCCTCAGGCGAAGCCTGAAGATGATCGTTACTTGAGGGCAGCCATCCAGGAGTACGACAACATCGCTAAACTGGGCCAGATCATGAGGGAGGGGCCCATCAAGGTAAGATACTTGTATGTCATAATATCCAAGACACCCATCAAGACTTCCAAATCCAGAAGCCTCACAAAACGCTTTGAGGACATCATCAGAGGAAATGCCTCCTTCAGTGTGTCCTAAGAAGTATACAGAGAGACTCCAAGGACAGAAGACAGGAAGACCCTCCTGCAGTGGATTCTCATTCATGATGTGTGTATCAGTGAGGGTGTGTGTAGCCTCTGTTTCATCCTAACTGCCGTCCTGTCAGGGTTCCCTGCTCAATGTGGTGCTGGACGACTACATGAGGCTGAAAAAGCTCTTTGCAGCCCGACTGGTCACAGTGTCCACCAGCCAGGGTGATCAGTCATCCGTCACTGAGGTGGGCGAGGGGAACCTGGTGGTGTCTCTACACCCGCTGCTGTGTGCTTCCTGTCTGACACCTGCGGAGAGTGATCGTCCCTGATCACACTTTCCATTTCTCACTCTGACACTCGCTGATGTGACTTCTCAATACTGCTGCTATCTCTGCTCCCTCAAGACATCTCGTTTCTGCTCTTATTTAAACATGTCAAACTAAGAATGGTGTGCAGTAATTGAACCCATGTCTGGCATGCAGTGTTCTTCTCTGCTGCTCTATTGTTTCTCTACATTTCCAAGTTGTTACTCCAAGTGATCTGATTTCTCTCTACTTTGTCCAGCTCTTCCTAAGAGTTCTCTCTTACAAGCTACCATGTTGTCAATCAAACCAGAGGTTTTCAAAGTGGGAAGTGGGCCTTCCAAGGGGGTGCAAACTGTTTAAGTTGGACATTACACATATTAATTATCAAAATATAAAACATAGAATTGTCTAAATGTATTTGATTTGGTTGAAGGACAGACTTTTTTAATGTGTTTATTGTTGTCTGAAGTCATGTTCAACAGCAATATCAGGATATCTTGGCTCAATAGTTGAGTGTCCAAGGGATCAAATAACTGAATTAGCCAAGGCCCAAAATCTCAGCATTCAAAACCCCGGGTATTTACTTTCAGTGCGTGAGTTTATTCTCCCTCTCCTCCCTCCACAGCTGATCCAGAGCGACCTGGACGACGATGAGGACGAGCGTCTGGGCATGGGGGGGGGCCGCGGCACACTGCGCTTCAAGCACAAGCTCCCAGTGGAGCTGAAGGGTCAAGAAGGAGTGCACGTGGTCCACGGCAGCACAGGCACCCTCCTGACCTCTGACCTCAGCAGCCTGCCAGAGGACGACCAGCGGGCCCTGGCGCGCTCTCTGGAGGCGCTTAACGCTGACGGGGGGCTCTACTCGGAGCGCAACGCCCGCACAGAGTCAGCCAAGTCCACCCCCATGCACCGCCACAAGGACGGGGACACCCTGTCCCAGAGCCCCCTGGAGATCACAGAGTTATGACTAGCCGAGGCCTCGCTGGTCTGAGCTCAAGCATGACTCGTGTGTGTCCTTGTGCCTCCACACCGCCACTCTGACGTGGACTGGGAGGACTGGGGGAGGAGTGTGTGTAGTTTAGGAAACCTCATCAGCCAACCTCAGGGCATCAGGGAGACAACCTGCAGGAAGACCCACTCACCATTGGGTTGGATTGTGCGGGTCTTATGTTAGGTGGTCCCACGTTAGGTGCTTCAAGAGAATAAAAAAAGACCGTAAGGACATTTAAAATCATAAGCAGGGCACTTTTTCTTCAGCAAGACAAAAACAAATGGGGTCATTGGCTTACATCCAAAGAGCTGAGCCTGAATCTCCCTGTGGGAGCAGCTTGTTGAACCGGGACCTTATAATCGTCTAAAGGTGCCTCACTCTCACTAATCCTTTTGATGTCATACCTGGACTGCATACACAAGCACAAATACACACACTCAAAAAAAAAGCTACACAAACTCAGACCAGCGGATGGCCATCAATGGGAGAAAATGTTGCAAATCTTGTTATCACGCTCTGATATTCTTTCTTTTTGCAAGACGACGCAATCAGCGTTGAAGGAGTGATAATGGGACTTTTCTCTTTGGGATATTAGGTTCATTTTGTTGTTGGGAAATTATAGATGGATATTTAATGCAGACAGAGCACTTCGAGTATTGTCCCCAGAGACGCTCACACCACGATCAAGAGAGGCCTGTGTGCAATTGTTTAAGTACTGAAGTAGTTAGATTTTATGGATGAATGGCAAAAAGAGGAAACACTCCAGGACAATCGGAGGATGGTGCAAGAAGAATAAAACAATGTCCAAGACTGGAGCTACATTAATTTTAAAAAAATACAAAACTTTGAATGTTTTGGGATACATTTGATATCAAAGGCCGTTAAAGAAAGCCTTGGTAAGGAATCGTAGATGGAATTTAAAAAAGTATGAATTATACAATTTTTATAGACAAGAAGATGGCATTGTGCCCACAGAGACTTTACACTGCCACCTGAAGGACTAAAAGAGTCATGCTCAAAATGAGCAATGTTTGCTTTATTTTTTTATTTTCTAGAAAATGTGGTGGAATAAAAAATATTTTTGAAGAAAAATGCTGGCTTACCAAAATAGGTAGGGAATGCTTTTGGATGTTTGGAGTATGTGTATATCGTGCTATGGTGACATGTTGTTTCTGATGAGTGGTGTGATTTTTAAGATTATTTTTTTATATTCCCATTTGTAAGTTTTTATTTGTTTGTCATTGTCCTGAGATCTGTGTTGGGAAATGTTGGATGATCTGTGATAATAAAGAAGAAATATGCAACGGCCTTTGACCCCAAGTCAGTGGGATGATGGGAGAGTGGCAAAGAACATGGAAACTGGTGCCGCAGGAAATGAAAAGATCCAGACAGGAAGTCTGAGAAAATAAGAAACTGTAATTACCCATCGCAAATGTGTGTATGAAATGAACAGACCTCATATAATAAGGAAATATTCTTGTTCCTTAGGGTGCATTCACACCAGCCTTTATATAGTCCGGTTTAATCGAACCCTGGTGCGTTTAGCCGCTTAGTGCGGTTCATTTGGGTCAGTGTGAACACAGTCCGAGACCTCTTAAGTCAGGGATGGGCAACTTGGATGGTGGTGGGGGCCACATAATGTATGTACTGGCCACCAGGGGGCCGCAGATTGACTTGAAACACACACAAATTCCATGTATTGTATGTAATTATTAACAAATTAAGTCTGACATCTTCATTGACATTTTACAATCTTTCAGGGAACATCCTCTAATAAGCTCACTGAACAAATATCAGTTCACACAATTTTTATTTAATTTTCACAAGTGGCATGTTTGTATTGAACAGGTTATTTAACAGTGGAATAAAACTATTTTTAAACTATTGGAAAGCACTGAACATGTGTGTGCATTAAGATTAACCATTAAGATGACAGGAAGTCATGAACACTACCCAGACATTAGTTGTCTAACTTGAACCTAGCTAAGACACTTTTAGCCTGTCTCTGCTGACGCACAATAAGGGGAATGTCAATTATGAATGAAAAGCGTAGAGTAATCACATAGTAATAGTAATAACACAGCAGCCGCCATTTGCCCATCCCTGTCTTAAGTGAACTAAACATCCGGACTCTGGTCCGCTAAAATAGGTGGTCTCGGAACGCTTGCTTGCGAACTNGCAACCCGACCCGAACCCGCATATATATATGAGCAGTGAAAACGTGCAATTATTAACACACGCAGTTGCATATTTGTCTCAAAAAGCGTGGGATGTTGGTTATTTTCTCCATCTAGGAGGACACCAAAATCCTCCCAGACGTTGGATTTCGCTCTTGAGGAAGTGTTGGAAAATGCTGTATTCTCCGCTGGAGAGCTTCACCTCAGCCATTCAGAATGTACAGCGCTCAGAAGCAGATTGATGCGCTGCAGAGGTTATGATTATGCACGGTCCCGCGGGGGAGAGGTCTGAGGATTTAAACATTAAACTAAATTATTATTATTTTAATATATTTATTATGCAACACCCGCGACCCGACCCGCATCATCTTGTTTTACCCAGAACCGACCCGGAAAAAGTGTTTGAAAAATACCACCCGCGAATCACCTTTTTTGCGGGTCACCCGTCGGGTACCCGCGGGTACCCGACCCGATGCAGGACTCTGATCTGCACTACTCATCGACTAAAAAACAACAGATTATCCTTGTTAATTACACAACATTGATTGGTTTTAAATTGTGTGCAATGCTTTTGTAGTTTTCNCACGCAGTTGCATATTTGTCTCAAAAAGCGTGGGATGTTGGTTATTTTCTGACAGGGGGGCGCTGGCCCAAAAAAGGTTGAGAACCCCTGTCCTAGATGGAGAAAATAACCAACATCCCACGCTTTTTGAGACAAATATGCAACTGCGTGTGTTAATAATTGCACGTTTTCACTGCTCATATATATATATGCGGGTTCGGGTCGGGTTGCAGATCCTGTGCCGACGGGTCGGGTCGGGTTGCGGAACTAATTGGTAATATATGCGGGTAGCGGGGCGGGTTCGGTATTGCACGTCGTGGGTGCGGGGCGGGAGCGGGTCTTGAAAATCAGACCCGTGCAGGACTCTGCCCAATGGTCATTATTTTTTTGCCACACACATTAAATAGGACAATACTCTGAGCATGCGCAGAGTAGTTTTTACAGTCACCGTTCACTTAGACAGTGAGAGGGAGGGCATGATCGGGTTTTGTCCCACATGGCTCTAAACAGCTCAATAGGCACACACTGTAGACAGGTTGTGCCCCACCTGCCCCTAATGACCAGTCGCCACTGCGTGTAAAGTAAAAATGCTCCGTCAACGACATACAATTAAGAACACCTGTCGTCGGTGAAACGCCCCTCCTTACTGCAGAACGTCTCTCATTATATGTGTTATATTGTATTTAACGGACGTTGTCGGATTATATAATCATATGCGCGGGCCGCTAGTGTCTGTTGATCTCCAGATTAACAGCAGCATGAGAATAACCTGCCGAAAGTGTCGATGCTCCATGGCGGAGGCTCCGGTAGAAATTGCAGGGATATGTGTTTTTACCCCCTTAATGTCTGAACAGCATTTCCGTCCACATGACTTGTTTAAAGTGTATAGTCCATTTGAGTTTTGCCCGTGTGAACCATAGACTGTATATATAAAAAGGTGTGAACGCAAACCGAACCTTCTGAAAAATGAAACAATGTAACAAACTGGGGTCTGGTAAGCACCAGAGAAGCGGAATATTAGGTGTGAATGCACCCACTCAATTCAGCGCCTGACCGAGGCTCTCTTGACCCAATGTTACAGATTGGTAAATACTGCCCTCTAGTGGTTGTTACGGGTCAACACTTGATAAGTAAGAAAAAAAAACTATATTTGTAACACACCACTCCATCGCTTTATTGTTGCCAGGTTACATACAAAAGTTTTCATTAATAATAGCTGTCTTCACTGCTGTTGGTCAGACGGCCCGGGCTACTGCTGGCGTCACAGCGGCAGCGGTAGCGGTGGTTGGTGGCTTCTTCAGGGTCTTATTCAGCTGGAAGGAGACAGAAGCACTTTTTATACACGGTTCAAATATATATGAAACTCTTGTTTGATACAGTCTGTTCGGGGAAAAGGCTGTGTGTGCGTTAGGTTACTGGAAGAGTATTTTGGGGGGACTTTTTTATATTGCTGACATTGCTTTAAGGTTCCAACATCAAACATTTAGCGATAAGTCTGCACTTTAACATTGCTTGCCTGGGGCATGTTAGATCACTACTCACCTCTTCAAACTTGTGGATCTGTCTGATGAAAAAGTCTCCGTACCGACGAGCAACTTTGGTGTCGGCGATGTGGATCATGTCCTGTGTAATGGATGCAGAAGAAAATATTTAAAAATACAGTACTACCACTACTACTTGAACCAACATAACAGTGATCAACATCACTTTTATACAGCACGTGTCTTACAATCAATTTTAACTGTAAGTAGAAAAGTCATTACAGAAGATTACACACCTTGTCAATGTAGAAGTCGACCTCAGAGGCAGACTGGAACTCCCCGTCCAGAGCCGAGACGCCGCTGGTCCACACCAGGTTCTTCATCTTGTGTTTGAAGACGAGCAGCTGAATGCGGAACTCCTGCTCCGTCATGTCCAGGAATCCTGCCAGCTTGGAGACCGGCATCGTGGTGTAGAGCTTCAGGAAGCTGAAGGACACATTGGGACTTAGATGAGTAAACAGGTCTACAGAGACAGTATAAAGGGAAAGGATTGAGGGGGCGGAGTCTGGAGGAGAAATAAACTGCATCCAAAATGTTTTTGCCTGGGTCCTCTATGCATTACATCATAGGTTCCCTGTGGAGTCTAAAGAGGTGCACAATAAGTCGCAGTGTGCCAGGGGAAGATGTTATTAATGATGGTATGCTGTACCTGCGGATGGTGGAGAGCTGGGCCTGCTGCTGCACCTCCTCAGCGAACACCTTCAGCTGCTGCTGGAAGGGCTCTTTGTGGTAGTTGGGGTGCACGTTGTCATAGTTTGGCACCACAGGAGACAGGAACTTCGGACAGGCAAAGCTGAACTGCTCCTCAAACACCTGGAGGTCTCTGAGATAACAAAAAATAGAACATGTGCGTCAGGTTGCAGCCTAAGGATGCCACAGTAAATACCAACACTACATTTAAAATAACTTATTGGAGCTATACGTTTATACCCACAAACACAGAGATACATGTTTTTCATTGTACAGTGTCATAACATTACAATTCATTATCAGGCTTTGTGACCAATATCACACAAATCAAATATACACACAAATTAAATGAAGGCAATAAACATTGAGACAAGTTGCTCCATCACAGTGCCATGAGTCGCCCCCTCACCCTTTCTGCATCCTCAGCATCTTGTCTCCGTACTTCTCCCTCAGCTGGGTGTGGATGCTCTCATCGATACGCATCGGGTACATGGTGAGAGCGATGGCCAGCAGACCATGCATCTGCTCGTTTTGTTTGTTAACCTAAAAAACATATCATACAAGTATTATGACACCTATTTCAACTCAAATACTTTTGTCCTCAGGGGGGGTTTAAAGACTTCAGAGAATTAATGTTTATGCATCACAGAATGTTGGAGGAAATCGACGACTACATTTCAGTTTTAGTCCAAACTTAACAACAATGAGTACTTTTATGAACATGTTCTATACAGGAGATTCCACAGCTCAAGCTAAATACAAATAAAAAAGAGTTCTAAGAAGCACAGCTGTGACTGACCATCTCATATTTATACGTGGACCTCTGGAACATGTTTCTCGTCCTCTGGATGTAGAGCAGTATGTTGGCAAATACTCGAATGGCATCCTGGTAACGCCTCATCATCAGGTAGGCAAAACCCACATAGTAATAAGTGGTGATCTGGCACTCAGGCACACGGGAGTACATACTCTGAAAGACAGGAAACAAAATATATGAAGGGATGCACTCTAAACCAAGAGATCATAGGTCAAAGAATACTGAAAAAAGATCTATAACAATATAGATGGCTCAGCGTATGAGCGTATTATTAGTAATGCTCCAGCGTGTCAGTCTCTACTTTCAGCGCCTTACCTTCTTGTTGAGCTCGATGTTCTCCAGGACTTTGATGGCCTGGTAATAATCCCCGAGCAGAGAGTGAAGTCTCAGCAGCCCCACCAAGCTGAAGTATCCCAACATTTTGTACAGGGAGTGACGCCCGTACTCTCCGGCCACACTCTCTGGGTCTCCTGCGACACACATAAAAAACATGTTAGCTGCCTGGTATTACAC